AAGATCTCACGGACAGCCCCTACAGAGACCTCAAGAGATGCAACAAATGTTGAAGATATTTGTTTGTCGATCCTTGGCATGTCACAAACATGATGCCATGTCTGACAAACATGCAAATTCGGTCACAAAAACAACTCATGTCACAACACATTTTTTGGTTGAACCCAACCTCCGTGGAGGGTTCCAAGACTTTCATCAACGAGTTGCGCAGCTCTGCTACAGGCAGCCAATTCCGGTTGGAATGTGTCTGCACACCACCCGCAGTAGCCAGGACTCGAAGCTCGTCTCTTCCTATTCCGTACAAAGCACGACTGAGCCACTCCTTGCCCTGTGAAACAACGCCAAGGCGAAGTTCTTCCAATTTGGCAGCCGATGCCTCGTCCACCTACAGCATCCGAAACACTGCCACCACAAAACGACCATCATCCTACAACATCGCACCATGTGACAAACATTCAAATTCGGTCACAAAAACAACTCATGTCACAACACATTTTTTGGTTGAACCCAACCTCCGTGGAAGGTTCCAAGACTTTCATCAACGAGTTGCGCAGTTCTGCTACAGGCAGCCAAGCCTTGCCGGATCGTGTCTCCACACCACCCGCAGCAGCCAGGACTCGAAGCTCCTCTTTTCGCATTTCGTACAAAGCACGACTGAGCCACTCCTTGCCCTGTGAAACAGCTCCAAGGCGAAGTTCTTCCAATTTGGCAGCCGATGCCTCGTCCACCTACAGCATCCGACACACTGCCACCACAAAACAAAAATCATCCCACAACATTCCACCATGTGACAAACATGCAGCTTTCGTCACAATCCTAATCTGCCCCACCGGACCTGCGTTGGAGGTGCCAAGACATCCAGCAATCGAGCGCGCAGCTCTTCAACCGCAAACCACTTCTTGTCCGGTCCACGGCCAACATTCCGAGCCCGTGCCATTCTGCGAAGCTCCATTACGGAAATTTGGGCCAGGGCATCCTGGAGCCATTCGCGACCCCTGGTCACAGCACTGCTATGCAGCTCCTGCAACCGAAGTTCCACGGCATCGGACGACGCGGATGACGCGGTCGCATGCTCCATTCGCACAGACATTCCCTTCAGCAAATGAAACAGCGACCACAGAACGTCCACAAACGTCACCGGCGCGTGACTTCAAACAAACATTTTGCATTGAAAAATTCCGAGACATGCATATTTGTTCTCTTGCTTTCAAAACAATGCCATGACATGTTTGATTTCAACACAAAATTGAACGGTACAAAATTGAACGGTATAATGATTCCCGTATCATTTTTTGTCCACTGCTCATGCATTTCAATGTTTTTTTTGCTGTACATCACATAGATCCACTGCATCGTAAACAAACACTGACATTGTCACAATGCAATTCTCGAGATCTCACAGACAGCCCCTACAGAAACCTCGAGAAGTGCAAGAAATGTTACAGATACCTGTTAGCCAATCGTCACTTGTTTCTCGAACATTCAGCGTACATCACCGTGCTCAATGCATCTTGTCTCAATGGATGTTCACTCCGTGCTCAATGCATCTTGTCTCTACGTACACCTCTGGGCCCAGGAAAGAGATAAAGAGGTAAACTATGCTTGTCGCTGCAAAGTTGCACAATCCACTGCAAAGCAGTTGTTCTCTGACTTCCAAACTGAGAACACCACTCATGAGTTTGACATGGCAAAGAACCACTGTCGCAGAGACCTGCAAACTGAAGGCTGAACGCGTCAACGGTGAAGCTTACAATGAACACATCAAATCAACACACTTCAAAAAAATTGTGTACCGTGAATCGCCGACTACAACCACATGTTATTCATTTGAATATGCAGTGAGAAAGATGCAGTGAGCTACGCACTCACACAATCCAATGCCAAGAAATCGTTCTCCGACTTCGACGCTCAGGGCACAATTGCTAAGTTTGACACTGGGCATGGGCACCATTGTCGCAGAGACCTGCAAACTGAACAGTGAAGCTTGCAATGAACACATCAAATCAACACACTTCAAAAAAAAAAAAGCAAATGGGTCCCGTGAATCGCCGACTAAAACCACATGATATTCATTTGAATAGATGTATCGGAACTCATCCTCCGACATGTCTCCAAGATGAGATCGCTTGCACCCCACAACTTCCAACACCCATGCCACTTCCTCATCCTCCGGCGGTCTCCACGCGGCCATTGCCGAGCGGCCCAGACAAAATTGAACGGCGCAGTGATTCCCGAATTATTTATTTTTTTTGCCCACTGCCCATAATTTGAATGAAAACAACACATATATGTTTTTCGTGCTATACATCACATAGATCCACTGCATCGTAAACAAACACTGCAATTCTCGAGATCTCATGGACTGACCCTACAGAAACCTCGAGAAGTGCAAGAAATGTTACAGATACCCGTTTGCCAATCCTCACTTGTTTCACGAACATTCAGCGTACATATAAGAATATGGATGTTCACTCTGTGCACAATGCATCTTGTCTCTACGTCCACGTCTGAGCCCAGGAAAGAGGTACTTGGTAACCTCTACAACTCCTTTACACAGAAACACTTTTACGCACAGACGCTTTTACACACAGACGCAACGCTTTTACACACAGACGCTTTTACACACAGACGCTTTTACACACAAAAGCTTTTACACAGAGACGGTTTTACACACAGACGCTTCTACACGCAGATACGTTTTACACACGCACACACGCTTTCACACACAAACGCTTTTACACACAGACGCGTTGACACACAAACGCTTTTACACAGGACGCTTTTACACGCAGATGCTTTTTCCACACGCACACACGCTTTCAAACACAAACGCTTTTAGACACAGACGCTTTTACACACAGACACTTGTACAGAAACGAAAGCGTCCATCGCAATTTTTCCTCAGTTTTTGACGTCCAACGTCCATTTCGTGCGAAAGGGTTACGATTGACCAAGTAAAATCGCAATTTTTCCGCAGTTTTTGACGTCCAACCTCCATTTCGTGTGTAAGGGTTGCGATTGACACCTCAAAGTCGCAATTTTTCCTCAGTTTTTGACGTCCAACGTCCATTTCGTGCGTAAGGGTTGCGCGGGACACCTCAAAGTCGCAATTTTTCCTCAGTTTTTGACGTCCAACGTCCATTTCGTGCGAAAGGGTTGCGCCGGACGCTTCAAAGTCGCAATTTTTCCTCAGTTTTTGACGTCCAACGTCCATTTCGTGCGAAAGGGTCGCAATGGACAAAGTAAAGTCGCAATTTTTCCTCAGTTTTTAACGTCCAACGTCCATTTCGTGCGAAAGGGTTGCGATGGACAAAGTAAAATCGCAATTTTTCCTCAGTTTTTGGCGTCCAACGTCCATTTCGTGCGAAAGGGTTGCGTTTCGTGGCGCTCCGGCGGCACCGCCCCCGCCTTAAGAGAGAATAGAAGAAGAGCGAGAGAAATCTGCAGATGTGAAGGTGTGAAGATGTAGATCGGCAGATGTGAGGGTGTGAAGATCTAGATCTGCAGATGTGAAGGTGTGAAGATCTAGATCTGCAGATGTGAAGGTGTGAAGATGTAGATCGGCAGATGTGAGGGTGTGAAGATCTAGATCTGCAGGTGTGAAGGTGTGAAGATCTAGATCTGCAGGTGTGAAGGTGTGAAGATCTAGATCTGCAGTGTGTGTGAAGGATGGTGAAGATCTAGATCAGCAGATGTGAGTTGTGAAAGATCTAGATCTGCAGGTGTGAGGTGTATATGATTAGATCTGCAGATGTGAAGGTGTGAAGATTAGATCTGCAGATGTGAAGGTGTGAAGATCTAGATCTGCAGGTGTGAGGGTGTGAAGATCTAGATCTGCTGCAGATGTGAGGAGATCTAGATTGCAGGTGTGAGGGTGTGAAAGGTGAAGATCTAGATCTGCAGATGTGAAGGTGTGAAGATCTAGATCAGCAGATGTGAAGGTGTGAAGATGTAGATCAGCAGATGTGAAGGTGTGAAGATGTAGTATAACGGCTGCTTTTTTACGAAGAACCCTTCGCAGGCGCTCTCGGGAAAAATGTGTATCTTCAAATTATATCTTCAAGAGATGCTACCCTTATCTGAAACAGCACCACCTCTATGGAAAACATACAATATCTGTTCCAAAATATATATATATATGGAAGACATGGTGCACTCTTTCTATATTAAAGGAAGTAATGATTCACTTTACCAGAGGAATGTTGCCCTCTCTGTAGAAGAATGTTGCATGGAGGTACGCCGCAACTTCCTGAAGGAATGCCGCATTCTTTTAAACGATAACTGATGAGAAGCATGCTGTCGCCCTTAGAATCTGAGTTGATACTGTGTTATTTTTTTCAAGAGAACAGCCTGCTTATCCTTATAAACGTTCCATATCTCCTTAAGATGCAGGGAGCTCCGTCAGGAAGATGCAGTACTGCTTGGGAACAAAATGAAATTTCCTGTTAATCAAAAGTGATGGCTTCCTCTTGTTCATGCTTTGCTATATACAAAGACATGCAGCAACCCATTTTTGAGCGTGGCGCAACCGGTCAAAATTGAATTCCATTTCTCTTTGATATTCATTGACTCCATACAATATTTCATAGCAAAAATTGCTTCATTACAGCAAATTTCTACCAAACTGAATTTTCCCAGCTGATTGACGGGTTTGCTTTCAGGTCCTTGTAGTTTATTTTTGCCTGATGTACAACTTGGATATGTACCGTATAATTACACAGAAGACTTGAAGCCACAAGTTCTTACACAATACATACCCTCTATATATATATATATATAGCCTTATAGCTCTTCACTGGTACGCCTCAAAACTAAGACGAACATAAACAGATGTTTGAAGTGACTCATTTTCTACATTATTTAATACATAAAATTTACCAAAAGGCGCACTCCCACAAAGACCCGGACTCCAGATTTTTCCAGAAATTGTTCACATTGCTGTGTCAGGTCTACGTTCTCGCTATGAGTAACTCCTGCTTTGTTTCTGCTGAGTTCCCGGCAATTAAAAAGTCAAAGAGCATACCTGTTCTGAAGACATCCATCCGGAAGACGTAAACCCTGGCCGTCATCTCAACGGCATAGATGCCTGACAGATCTGACAGGGCTCTGGGGTTAGCTGAGTTCAATCTATAGTATTTGTAAACACGTGGTCATACTTGTACCTATTCCTGAAGCGAAGTGAAAGCAACACGAACATGTTTCCAAAATTACTGAAACAAACGCCCCCATCTACTCTCTTTTCAGAACCTTGCTGCAGGCGCGCGCTGAGGGAAACCATGGGAAACCATAGCCGGAGATACTTCCAACTAACAGCTGAACTTGATTGAACTGCCGGTTACCCGGTGACTTTTTTGGCCCAAGGAGCAGGTGTAGACTGTAACAATGACAGAGTTGACATTCCCGACCATTTGCTCTTCTGGTGTCCTGGATGTTGGCCCAGCGTAAGAGGTAAAAAAAAGTCTATCAGGCAGAGGCCTTCCTGCTCAACAGCGCCGTCAACCGCCCTTCTGAACAAAGAATGACTCATAAGTATAACGCAGCACAAACCGCAGAATAGTGTTAAACATACACACAGGTATACGAATGATAATGCAATGATAATGCAATGATAATGCAATGATAATGCAATGATAATGCAATGATAATGCAGTGATAATGCAATGATAATGCAATGATAACGCAATGATAATGCAATGATAATGCAATGATAATGCAATGATAATGCAATGATAAGCATATAATAAAATGCACATGGCAATAACTGGCTGGTGTAGTGTGATAGATTGAAAGAAGTCTTGCAGCTTCCGGGTGAGTTTGAGTTGCAGGTACTTTGACTGGTGCAGTTTAGGATCAGCCCGTCAGATCTCTTTGCTTCAATATCAGCATCCTCAGAAATTCTCCGGGGATACAAATAATATAAATGGATCAAGCCCTGCAGTGGCTGAAAATACCAATAGCCAGCGATGGATTGCCAGATGGTCTTCTGCAAAAACCTATGGCTATACCTATGGCTTTTATGGCAAGTTTGTCTGAGTCTGGTGCACTGTGCCGCTCACACTAATTCTCCCAGTGCTACAATGCGTCTTCCTCCATGTCTGCCACAACAGCTCCACCAGCTATTTCAATGGAAATGAATGGATAAGTTGTTCAGCTTCATTATGTTCGGCACCTCTGGTGAGCTGCCATGCATAGGTGCAGACCAGTGGCAATAATCAGGAAGATAACACCTAAAAAGGGAAGTGAGAAGATGTGGAAGGCTACAGTACAAGATAAGGTGAAGAGCCGGTGATAACTCTCACAGCGGGTCAATTCTCCCACACCCGCAGACCGCCCTTGCGAGGAAACGAGTCACTTGAGAGGATCATTGTTGCCAGAAACCAATCTGTCTTCGCTGAAGACAATATGCCTTAGCTTCTTGACATACCATGAAATACCAAAAACCCGTGCAAACTGCCAATGGAACCCCTCTGAATTCCATATACTGCACAGACCCGTTGAATCAGGTCAAAGCGCCGAAAATTCGTTTGCGCAGTACTGTCCATTTTGCGAAGCCATGTGGGTGCAAAGTCCCACCCTCTTCATCTGAGTCATCATCATGACCTGCGCTTCAAAAGGTCACAAGGACTGCTGGAATATCCGGCAGAAGGTGAGAAAAAAGAATGCCGTAAGTGCTGGGAGTAATCCAGGGTCCAAGACTCCCTGTCCAAACATGCTATATATATATACAATTGCTAATTATGCTGATCAATGCAAATCCCTGATCTCTGCAATTATGAGAAGAGCCTAAGCAAGGTGCCTAAAGCAGAAGCTCCAAACTTGCGACGCTTGCCGCCACCACTGCTTTTCTCTCTTCCCCTGGGATGCAAGCTCTGTCAAGCTGCTTGAAAGAGGGAACATGTCCCCAAATTCGTCGCCAATGTACTAGCTGCAATCCTGGTGGAAACGATGTTTCAAACTGCTTCAGATATGTTTGCTAGTTTTGTGCATACCAAGGGACGATACCATAGCGTCTGGAAAGCGGTATCAGGCTTCAAGTTGTTCGATTGCGTGTAGGAATGAGGATTGTGACAGTCAAAACCAATCGGTTACTCCTAGTTTTGTTGGCAGGGAATGCTGTCAATAGGACACTCTGACATGCGGATATGGTACAGCACAGCTGCGAGCAGAGGTCGGCGCTTTGAGCCAATGCCCGAACACCCCATCTCCGAATTTGCAATCATGTATTCAATCATGTACATCATATCACATCGCAACTCAAGGACTGCTGGACACCCAAATCTCAAAAACTGAAGCGACTCTCCAATGCCTGGTCACTACGATTGTACCTGCCTCACTTTGCATCAGGTGCTCGGCTGCTTCGCTAATGCCTTGTGACAAGAGGAAACCAGACACTTCAGAATTCATCAATAATACGGTTTTCTTGCAAACACTTCTATACCAGCAGATTTTGTATGGTTGTCACAACTATCAATTGTCTGTGCCTTGGAATCCTTGGGGTTGGTCACTACGGGAGTACTTTCCTCGGGTAGGAGACTCACTTAGACCCACCCGATTCGCATCACTTAGACCCACCGCATCACTTAGACCCAACACGCATCACTTACACCCAACAAATTCGCATCACTGAACCCACCACTCCTTTGGTAGGGTTTACTTGACACAGGAAGTACACAGTTACGACCCCTTCAGGCCCTCTTAGCTTCACACACAAAGTACACAGGTACGACGACCCCTTTAGGTTTTCTTGGCTTCACACAGGATGGACACAGGTACGACCCGCTTAGGTTTTCTTTGCTTGACACAGGAAGTTATGACCGCTTTAGGATTTCTTTGCTTCACACAGGAAGTACACAGGTACGACCCCTTTAGGTTTTCTCTGCTTTTTCACACAGGAAGTACACAGGTACGACCCCTTTAGGTTTCCTTTGCTTCACACAGGAAGTTTACAGGTACGACCCCTGTGTGTTTCCTTTGCTTCACACAGGAAGTACACAGATACGATCCCTTTAGGTTTTCTTTGCTTCACACAGGAAGTACACAGGTACGACCCCTTTAGGCGTTCTTTACTTCACACAGGAAGTACACAGGTACGACCCCTTTAGGCTTCTTTGCTTCACACAGAAAATACACAGGTAGGAACCCTTTAGGGTTTCTTTGCTTCACACAGGAAGTACACAGGTACGACCCCTTTAGGGTTTCTTTGCTTTACACAGGATGGACACAGGTACGACCCCTTTAGGGTTTCTTTTCTTCACACAGGAAGTGCACAGGTACGACCAGGAAGTACACAGGTACGACCCCTTTAGGATTTCTTTGCTTCACACAAGAAGTACACAGGTACGACCCCTTTTAAGGCTTTCTTTGCATGTTGGGTTTATCCGTGTCAATGATGTTGATGATGAAGAAGGAAAAGACGTAAAAGTTCTGATGATTATGATGATGTTGATGATGATGATGGTGATGATGTTGATGATGTAGAAGGAAAAGACATGAAAGTGATGATGATGATGATCATGATGATCATGATGATCATTAGGGTGATGATTGTCTGCTGCATGATGATGATGATGATGATGATGATGATGATGGCGACGACCACGACGACGACCACGACGACGACGACGACGACGACGACGATGATGATGATGATGGTGATGGTGATGATGATGATGATTACTATTATGATTATGATGATTGTGATTATGATTATGATTATTGTTACTGGTATTATTATCATTATTATCATTGTTATTTTTTAATGATTATTATTATTATTTAATACTATTATTATTGTTAATATTATTATTATGTTTACATGCGTATTATTATGATTCCATGACGCGGGTTTAAGCGATGCAAATCACGCGGGTTTAAGCGATGCAAATTTGGAGGGTTTAAGCGATACCGCGACCCTTTCCACGCGGCAAGGCTCTGCATTTCTTGCGCCAACATCCCTGTTTCTCCAGCCACATCCAGCCACAAACTTGAAACACATGTGGCTGATCTACAATGCACAATTCGGTCTCAAAAACTTGAAGGGTTCAAACTTGCCAAATATCACATGCAAATATATATTCAAATTTAGATAAATCTCAACCCAAGTTTGCATTTCTGGTCATCAGAATCTTCGCAGCTTCTGCGCGGATTGAGAGAACCTGCTGTGGATCAGCGTTCCACTTGGTCGGTGATTGCACTACGCGCTTGATCAATGGCACTGCTTCAGAGCCCACTGCTCGGAAGAGTTCCCAGTCTTCTAGGCCATCTCGAATTGCGTCCAAGCGGACACTTCCACAGGGACCATCGGGGCAGGGATAAACAAACTGTCCATCGCCATTGGCAAAAATTGTGTCATATTGCCCTTGCCATATGAAATTCGCTTCCGGCCAATCAGTAAACGCTGTGCCACGGAAGTCGCCCTCGCTTAACCAGGCAATGGGATGTTTGTGAACTGCGCCACCACAAGTGGGCCCATTACAAGGTTTCCAAACATTCATCTCGTAGTAGAGCCAGCCAGTGGGCCTCCCATATTGTATCTCCCAGAGTGCCGCCAACCAGAACAGCAACCGTCCCTGAATGGAGGGCCGTTCAGCAAATGTATTGAGATATTGAGGCCCACCCGGCTCGATGCAATGATAGAGCCACAGATCTTTTCCTGCTTCTGTCCAAGTGCGTGAGGCTTCAGGACCAAACTGGTCAAACAACTGGTACTGCAACACCCAAATATCGAGGGGCAAATCTGTGGGAAGATGTTCCCAGTTGATCGCTGCCATTGTGTTCAAACCGGGGAAAGCCTCTTTCACAGCACCAAAAACCTGCCGCAGTTGGGGCTCACAATGAGCTGGCACTTCATCAAAGCCATAGACATAGCTCCGGTTCTGAAGTTTCTTGTCCTGCAGCGCTTCTAGTGTTGGCTTGATGTTCTGCAGGATGCTTTCTATGTCATTGTCTGTGTACTGCGGGCAGCCATTTGCGTGCCCGGACTTGTAACCTCCAACATTGAGGATGCCCAACCACTTTGTGCCTTTGCCGCTGATGTAGACAAAATCATCTATAGGCCTGGGATGCTTTTGCACCATGTCAGGCGGAGTGCGATGGTCTAGCATCAAATCAAACCAGGTCTGCTTGTTCTTCTCCCAGTACCCTGGGCCATAATAAGGCTCGAACTCAGGCGATCGCCACATTCCCCGCCATGCGCTCCCAACCTTGCTCTGCTCCAGGGAAGGGATGCTAACGTTCCAAATTTCCAACGAGAGGTCCACACAAACGGATCCTCCAGGATGCAAGGTCAGTAGAAGCTCAGCTTCATGACGTCCAGCGTCAGCGAGCTCACTGACAAAGCATTGGACCCAAAGTGGTTGAGCGACGTTGCTAGGAACTCCCGCAGACACTAACGGTCGCAATGGATCTGGGCGCCAACCACCTCCACTGTCAGGAACGCGACCAGAGGCAAAAGCCCACCTGCAGTGCTTTGCATTCGACTCCATGAGGTATACCTACGAAGCTGTTTGATGTGACGGTGGTGCCTGTTCGACTCCAGGTCAACGTGGATGGTATGCGTAGGAGAATCTGCGCCGATTCAGTCTCACCTCTGAGTGCCTGTATCTTCAAGTGTGCTTTGCACTTGGAGGACGACTTGGAGGACGACTTGGAGGACGACTTGGAGGACTTGGCATGGGTCCAGTCAGCGTCACCATCTGATTCTTGGTTTAAGTCCAGCGAGCCATGGGCGAAGTCTGAGCATGTGCTGGTAGGCCGTACTTGCAAACCAGTATTCACCTGACATATCTCCAACTCATCCCCCGGCCAAGAGCTGCCAAATTGAAACAAGGCTGAGGACTCTTCTTGACAGGGCTGCGAGTCCCCTCTCACCGCAGCACCAAACCACACAAATATCAGATATCTCAGCGAAAGCCTTCCAAGCATGGACCACAAGAGTATTTAGAGCAAAATTCGGTAGCCAAACTCAAAAGGTTGAGCCATAGGTACAGCATATGGTCAACATCCGAGGATTCTGCAGGTCTGTTACTAAAACAGTGACGCCACTGACACCATACACGTCTCTGTGATTCATCTTTCCAACCTATTGCAAAACATGGGGAGCTGCGACTGGGATCTGCCTGGCTTTTTCCATTTGAAGCACCTAACCAGCACAAGTGCGTCGATGTCTCTAAGGCTAGAATTTAGGATACTTTCTGACATTTTCTGACTATGCATTGCCATTTTGATCCATTTCAACTCTCGGATTGGAACTCAATCTGAGTGAAAGAGGAAAGCTTGTAGAAACTCCTGCCTGGTCCGCTCCGATGGTAATGGAGCTCAGCTCTTGTGAAGTGACGTGGTCTTGACTACCAGCGGGCAATGCTTGAGGAACTAGCGCACTCAGGTGGCAAATGGATGGGCACACCAGCTCTCAGATTTCCGAAATGTCATCTCAGAGTCTCTCAGGATTTGCACCCATGTCTGCCCACTATAGCTACCAAGTGCAAGTCTGTCAAGACAAAGTACGTTCAATATCCCACGGACGAGCCTACTCTCAAGCGAATGAGAGGAAAAAATAAATGCATGCACAGCAAGAACATTGCAACATATTTTTCGCACGCCCTCTGGCAAAGTCCAGAAAGCAGTTCCTAGCCTCAGCATGCCTCAGCTAGTCCCGGATCCTTGTGATCAGATTGTTCATATTCAGCTGAATATGCATCTGATTGTGTCTGCCCTTCGGGCAAAAACAGGCAAAGACAGGCCAGTGGCCAAATTGTAAAATGTCTACCACAAGTCCTCAGGTTCATCTGTCCGTGGCTTCTTCGTGGGCGGCTCACGGGTAGACTCAGTAGACTTGGTAGACCCAGAATCCACCCGTTGGAGCTTCTTCAGATCTCGAAAATGGAAACGCAACCGCCCCAACTTCTGTTCCTGAATCGAAGAATGAGACAAGCACAACAGCCAGCACAACCAGCGGCACTGTCGTGGCATAGTGCCAAGAGAAACGTTGCGAAATGTTGGGAAAGGCCGTGCACACATTATCAATTACTATTTCTTTTTCTACCAAGAGTTGGCTAAAGGCAAAACAAGAAAGTGTACGTTCAATATGTTTTACTCACATATACCATCTCTTGCATCTTTGCACCACCACACTACACACTGAACCCTAGCACTCCGCCATAGCAAAAAAGGGCATTGCAAGTACCTGACTTTGCGATTGAAGTGGGCTGGGCAACAACTATAAACGGCTAGGCAGTTGCAGCGAGGCTCGTTTCCTTTACATCTTGCTTCCAGCTCTTGTCTGGAGTAGGTGGCCCCGATTTTCACGTTCAGGCCCAAATGGAGATGATCCAAGATCTTGTAGGACTCAACATCTGGGAGTGGCAACGAGGGAGCTGGCACCCTCGCTGGTGTGCTTTTGGAGGCCGTGCTCCTGAACCAAGTCATCATTGATTTGCGCAGAATGGTGGCAATGGCTGCACTGTTGCACAAACTAACTCTGTTTCCAGCACAGCACAATTCCAACCCCATGGTCCTTGCATTTGGTATGGACTTGGACTTTGGCTTCACAGCCTTTTGCACAGCGAGGCCTGCAAAAGTCAAGTGTTTAGGAGTCCAGAGCCAATGGGTTGACTTCTGCTTCGGTAAACCATGGCTCGTAAACTATGCTTCGTAAACCATGACTCGTAAACCATGGCTCGTAAACTATGCTTCGTAAACCATGACTCGTAAACCATGGCTCGTAAACTGTGCTTCGTAAACCATGACTCGTAAACCATAGCTCATAAACCATAATTCGTAAACCATGACTCGTAAAACATGGCTCGTAAACTATTCTTCGTAAACCAAGATCCGTAAGCGTGTAAGATGAGACTGCGCATGTTGCCAGAGGGGGTGGGATTTTGATATGACGTGTAAGATGTGACTTTGCATGTACTTGCCAGAGGGGGTGGGATTTTCATATGACGTGTAAGATGAGACTGCGCATGTACTTGCCAGAGGGGGTGGGATTTTGATATGACGTGTAAGATGAGACTGTGCATGTACTTGCCAGAGGGGGTGGGATGTTGATTTGACGTGTAAGATGAGACTTTGCATGTACTTGCCAGAGGGGGTGGGATTTTGATATGACGTGTAAGATGTGACCCTGCATGTACTTGCCAGACGGGTGGGATTTTCATATGACGTGTAAGATGTGACTTTGTATGTGCTTGCCAGAGGGGGTGGGATTTTGATCGTGTAATGTAAGATGTGACGGTGCATGTACTTGCCAGACGGGGTGGGATTTTGATATGACGTGTAAGATGAGACTGTGCATGTACTTGCCAGAGGGGGTGGGATTTTCATATGACGTGTAAGATGAGACTGTGCATGTACTTGCCAGAGGGGGTGGGATTTTGATATGACGTGTAAGATGAGACTGTGCATGTACTTGCCAGAGGGGGTGGGATTTTGATATGACGTGTAAGATGAGACCCTGCATGTACTTGCCAGAGGGATGGGATTTTGATATTACGTGTAAGATGTGACTTTGTATGTGCTTGCCAAGAGGGGGTGAGTTTTGGTTGCTGAGGTTTGGTTGCTGAAGCGAGAGTAGATTTTGGTTGCTGAAGCGTGGTTGCTGAAGCGAGAGTTAGTTTTGGTTGCTGAAGCGTAGTTGCTGAAGCGAGAACCTAGTTTGGTTGCTGAGCCGTGGTTGCTGAGCCGTGGTTGCTGAGCCGTGGTTGCTGAGTCGTGGTTGCTGAAGCGTAGTTGCTGATCCGTAGTTGCTGAGGCGTGGGTGCTGAAGCATAGTTGCTGAGCCGTAGTTGCTGAAGCGGAGTTTAATCAGAGCGAATGAGCTCTAAAGAACCAATCTCCAGAGTTCCGAATTTTGCGATCTGCACGGCATGTTCAGAAAAGCCCTGCCTTCAGCCTTGACTGGCTCTGCTCGTGATTTTGGGTGCGCCATGTATGAGGTGAAAGGTTTTGGTCGGCTATCCGGCCTGTCACCTCATCAACAAAGAAAGATGCTATCACTGAAGGGTTCCATGTGTGCTTCCTGTGAGCTATAAAATGAATTAAAATGAATTAAAATGAATTAAAATGAACACTGCACAAGGAAGCGCTGAGCAAATCAATCGAGTGACCGAGCCCTTGTCCAGCCATTCTCTTCGCCTTCTCTTGGCCCACAGTCTCTTCCCAAAATGCAGATTCTTTGTTGTCCAGCACTTTGGCAGCATGTTTATGTTTTTCTTCCAGACGCCTTGCTAAGCAGCACATCTGCACGTGAGAGGAATATATTCATATATATTCCCCCTTTCTGACTGTTGCACAGTTGTCCCACTGCTTCTAACTACGCCCGAACCCATGCCTAAAGAAACAACAGCACCCTAAAGTCAGGAGTTGTTTGCGGCAGGTAGCTAAAGTACTGCAGCATTGTGTTGATTTGCGGGCACTGTTAGATGCCACCAAGTTGCTGATAACACCTGCGATCAACCTCCGAATCTTGCAACAACAGGTACTGAATAAGTACCGATCCTTGCTGGCCGATTCTGTGAGCCCGTCCCTCACATTGATCAATGGTGCCCGGCGTCCACACCAACTCGGCAAAAATGACGATCTCGGCGCTGGTGAGGGTCTGACCCTCTGCAAGAGCTGTGATGGAGAGCAACCCGCAATGACAGTGGAGGTCCTGCACTGCACTGAGTACGGACCATTGTCCCGGCTGACAAAAAGTCATTACAACATATTCCAACAATGTGCCAATTGTGGCAATTCCATGGTTGATCTTTGAAGAAGGAGGAGAAGAAAAACAAAACAAAACAAGTACTGTAGAAGGAACTTACCACTCCATGCCCCTGTGGCCACAGTCCTCTTGGAATCGTTTCACCAGGTCCGCTCTCTGGCGCTGGGGCGTGCTGCCATCGATCCTAATGTATCCGCCACCGCCGACCCTGCACAAAATGAGGAAAAATGAATGACGCATCAGCAATCAGAATGCGTCGGAATCCAGGTTTTGAATGGTTTCCGCGCCCAGCCTCTCTTTCAACACGGTTTCTAAGGAGTCCAACATCTCCTCACAAATGCAAAGCGGGTGTTGCACCACAACAGGGACCCGAAGTGTGTGTTGCACCACGACATCACAACCGCAACACAGAACCACAACGGCATCACACGGCATGATCGAACTGCAAAACTTAAGACAGGCATACATCATGTATTGCCTGTGCATGAACATCAAGAGATGTCAAGACCGCTGAGGCTGTTACGGCTGTTAAGGCTTTTAAGGAGGTAGGAAACTGCAGAATCTCTCCGCCTCCCTCTCTCCCCTTGGGTCCTTGTGATGTGCAAAGAGAAGGAACTTCCCAATCCCGTTGTCGATAACATCTGTGATATACTCCCCCACTGACCTGCTCAACTTGGCAAGCGATCGACATTAGATCGACCACTCTTCAACAATGCGGGGTAAGGGGTCGTTGCATCTTTGGTTTAGCTGTTTCTCATTGAGTCTCAGCGTCTGATAAACTACAGTTGCCGGTGGTCATTGTTTATCTTGCCTTGCCTCTTCTTTGCCTCCATCAGGAAGTGGGAAGCTGTTCGGAGATCTGCCCACCACTTTGGATCTTTTTTTGCATCCTCGCCAGCAAATTTGAAAAGCTTGTCCTGCAGGGGCAAGCTATAAGCTGAAGCAAACACTGATGGCTCAGCCAAATGGAGTTTCCCTGCTGCACCTTGCTAAGATGTCCACTGAGCCCTTTGGTTTCCCCAAAGGCCATTCAACCTACTTGATTTTTTATATGTTTTTTCAGACATGTTCAGACTGTGAATTTCAAAAATCCAAACTATTCACAAGATTCACAAGTACACAAGTACAGGCCGTACAAGCCGTCAGCCATAGAACAAGGCTCAGCACTTAGCTCTGACTGGATGGCCTCCATCGCTTTCAGCTTGCCGATGGGAGATGAGGCAGCCAGCGGTATAGTCTGCCTAGTCTTTGGAGGAAGCCTCGGGGCATCATGTGACACATGACACGTTACGAGGGTTACGACAGAAATATGCGCCTTGGACTTGGAAGTCTACTGCCCATCCAATCCATTCCCGAGAAATGTGTGACTCTTCCAAGGAGCTGAGACAACACCTGCTCCTTCTTCCGCCGAATCCCAACAGTCTTGAAGAGATATGCATGGAGCTCCTGCTACGAGGTAGTGGTGAGCCGTACAAAAAATCCCATGGCTCTAGTCTCATGCTGCACTGCTTCGATGGTTTACTGTGATCTTGGTTCCAATATTCTTCTGTCTTCTTCCCGGCTCCTCCTCCCGGCGAGGATCTATGTACTTCCTAGGGTGGGTGACATGCGATGTGGGCTTGTCTGCGTTTGCCTGCGATCATTGATACTTTGAAAGAAGTCTGCAAAGGTTGTCTAGGGGAAACATGCATCCTAATTTCCCCTGAGCATGCTCTTTCATCAAAGGTCGTCGTCTTGCGTGTCCCAGTTGCGTCTTTCCAAAGTCCGTGTTGATACCCCCAAAGTACCGTCTGGCAAATTCATGTTTGTCGGCGATCTTGGGGTCCAAAATCTGCAACAGGGGGTACAGCTCCTTTGTGCACAGGGGATGGCAGTTGAAAGAGCTCTAGTTTTAGACTATGACATACTATAACTATACCCGGCTAGATCTGCCGCGTGCAAAATCAAGTACGCAAACAAGCCAACATCTACGGAGTCACTTTGAACATCTGATACATCTGCAAATGTGAAAATGAAGGAGGAACGATTTGCTCTCCAAGATTGCGGCGCAAGGATCCATTGCGCTATTGAGTATTGGCGTTCCAGACACCAAAATAACGCGCTCAGCAGCCCCAGCGACCTTCAACAGGGCCTGGGACCTTCAGCAACTGCTGCGGAATCTGTGACGTCAGAGGGGAAGAAAAGGGAAGCGCATCACAAATGCTGGCAAACGGTCCAACACAATGTAACGGAGGGAGGACAATTCTATACACTGGGTAGGTCAATGGTAGTTCTACGATCTCTGTCTCTGCTCACGCATCTAAGCTTCAAACCTTTGAGCATCTGGGTTCTTGATGTAGTGACCTTGAAGGTTGAATCCGGCTCAGTCAAGCATCTGGCAGTGCTTCGCATGAAGGAAGAAAAAAGACTTTGCAGTAGTGAAAACATTGACATGGCAAAGGGAAACTGAAAATATTATATATTATAATGATACCATATTCCTCTGAAGCGAGGCCCCTGCTTTTTGCAAATCCCTGTAAGTATCTCAAACTTAGCGTTTCTTTGCGTTTCTTTGCTGACAGGTCACATTCGTCGCTAATCACGAGTTTATAGGTCTTGCCATGGAAGGTTTGGAGTTGCTCCGACTTTCCGAGCAAAGCATAGCTCACAACCACGATCCGAGCCGTGCTCTCAATTGGAGTGCTGCCGGAAAAAATAATCTGCACAGTTTCCTCAGTCTCAGAGGGAATAGGCTCGGAACATACCAGTAAATGATGATGATGATGATGATTTTACACACAGAAACGTTCACACACACACATGTTTTTACACAGAGAACCGAAAAGGTTGCATCTGAATTTCCAATTCACAATTTTACTTCAGCTTTTGACGTGCGACCTTCATTGCGTGCCACAGGGTTGCGTCTGATCTTTCAAAATGACAATTTTACAACAGTTTTTCGACCTTTCCGTTTGACGTTGTAAAAACGCAATTTTTGCACCAGTTTTACTGTTCGACTTCATTTCGCTGAGAAGAGCTGAGAAGAGGAGAGGGGACATGAGATGAGATGAGATGAGAGGAGATAAGATGAGATGAGATGAGGTGGAAAAACTAAGAAGACGCGACATGAGATGAGATGAAACGAGATTGGACAAATAAATAAATAATGATGATGATGATGATGATGAAAAAAGGAGGAGGAGGAGGAGGAGGAATCAATCACCAAACCCATGCGCTGCAAGTCCTTGCCCATTTGAGGACAAGTCCAGAAACAAAAAGCTTCACCACTGATGCTAGGGCCAAGGCACAGGATCCAGACCGAGCCATCTTTGTATCTGGTCTTCCCAAACGTTCCGCAGAGATGATGGGCAGACTATGAGCATGGGAAAGCTCTCCCGATACTCCCAAGCTATTCCAAGGGCTTGCACGGTCTTTCCTAAACCCATGTCGTCCGCAATCAGTACTCTGCCTCCTCTTCGGATGCCAAATTTGATTCCCTGCCTCTGGTATTCCATGAGTTCATGACTTTTTGGCTCGGAGAAAAAGTCTGGTTCCTTTTCATCTATTGCCTCCTGCAGTTCTTCTTTCGTCTCCACTAGGCCTGCCAACCATGGAGGAAGCTGAAGTTTGTCTTCGGACACGCCCAAGCCTTGGCCAAGCGTGCTGCTATGACAAACAGATTGTTGGTTTCCATTTGAATGATGCATCCCTGGAAAGATTATGCGGCATGGCAAGCGTACCGTGAAAATCCTTATAACTTATAACTTGTAATTTGTTTAAACTATTTCAAAACTTACATATGTATATATATATATTAAAAAAAATACTAAATATATTTATATAATTATATATATCAGATTCAGTAAATTTGAACTGTCACTGTGTAGAATGAAATTGTGTAGAACGATTCGAAACAACGAAAAAAAGAAAAGCTGAATACTTGCTGGGATAGGCAACTCCTCGCCCATTGCAGGTAATCTGGTACAAGGGCCTGCGGCATTGAAAATGCCGTTGGCCTGTAATGGCAGGACCGTCCACAGAGAAAATACAGTAAAAGAACAAAAGAACCACATTCAAATCATTTCAAAATTTTCAAGCCCAAAACGCCGAAAGGGTGAACATTGCCAAACTGCCAAACGAGGGGCAGTTTCCCATCGTCGTCCCCGTCCCAATCTGTGATCTTCATGGATGGGAAACGTCGGCGAAGTGCTGCAGCAAACGGCCTTTCATACAGCGGTTTAGGGGTGTGTTTTGCTAGAGGCTTTATTGTTTTCTTGGGCCTATGGATTTCCCAAAGGATCCCCACATATATAAACGCCTCAAAACCCTACAGAAAACCCATAGAAACCGACAGTGAAACCCAATAACATCCCTCAAGATTCCCACGGCCAACTCTGTAGTTCAGAATTATTGTTCACACCTGGGTAGCTATCAACCCCATTATATAACACTCCCACCACGATCCCGGAAATGGGCCAGCCCACATCATTCCAATCAAGCCCAACAAGAAATAGCTTTGAAATTAATAACGCTATATACCATCATTGTAACCCCAAATATGGGCCAAACTGACGAACTCTAACCAATTCAAACCAATAAGTGCCTACAAAACAAATCCCAGCCAATGCTAAACCAATCCCACAAAAACCTCAAAAAAACCACCAAAATCCCTAAAATGGGTCAGCCCCTAGCAAGCCCAAACAATTTGAAATCAATAATGACCGAACAAAATCGCACAAAAACCTGAAAGAATCCCACACAAATCCCAAAAATGGGCCAACCCCCAGACAAATCTCAGTATATAAAACCATAGCAAAACCCAACAAAACCTAACCAAAAAAAAACACAAACCTAAACAAATCCCAAACATGGGGAAAACAGCCAGCAAGCATTCAGCACCAATTCCTCCCAACAACTCCTACTTTCCAACGCTTTTTTTGGGAAATATATTCAAAATGCTGGGGTTCTTGGTTTTAATATTCAACAAGGTGGCTTAGCACCACTACTTAAAGCAATTAGCTCCAACGATAGACAGTTATTCAAACACAAACAAAATAAGCGCCAATGACTATAATATATATATATATGTACCACATAATGAGTGCCAAAATAAATGCCAGCCAATTCCCAGGGATACCTTTCCTCTTCGAGGTGGGCATGGTCCCAAGGGGCTCTCAGGTGCAGACATGAAAAGATTCCAGGTTAAATCCTGTAACAACCCCAGTTAAAACCATGAAAATCTCACATTGGTCATTGATGGATTTTTTGAAATGTTCTAGGTGTTCATTTGGTTTTATCAGCTGAAATTTTCAGCAATAAGACCCTTAAGAAGACCTACCCCTAAACCACCCTATATAATTAAGAGCCTTGCCGCGCAGCGAGGCATTGGCGGGCTGTGTGGGAGTTGCAGGCGGATGTTGGAATCTGCTTGCAGCTCTATGGATCCCATCTTTGCAGCACTTAGGATCATTTGCTGCTTCTGTCTCTTTTTTTCAGCTGCTTCATCCTCCGTAGCGATCGGTTGTGCCGCAACCCTCGGCATTGCTCGCTACGGGTTTCTTGGACGTCAAGGAATTATCATCGCGTCGTGCTGTATGGGGATGTTGCAAAAGCTTGCAGCCTGCAAAAGTTTGGATTTTCAAAACTCCTCAATTCCTGTTGCGCAATGTCCACATCCCTGGCTGCACACGTCTTGGATATGCTTGCATATGTTTGCCATTCTATGACATTCTATGATGATGATAATGACCGTTCACTCGTCCATGCTGCCAGTTCACCATGTGGGCACGTGGCAGAACTCAAACAGCTCGTCGGCAAAAGCGACTGGCAGGGCCCCTCCTCCCACCGCGGAAACCATCTATTCCTTCACAACAACTCCAGCCACAATACATAATCGACCCCCCCAGGGTATGGTCCACCAAAAGCCCAGCTAAATGCTTCATCAGCGGCTTTCATTCTATGACCCGCACATTATCACATATTGCTCACTGGACACTTGAAATAACCACAGGCAAAGCCGCCGCAAAGGCAGCAAAACAATGTCACTGCCCTCTCAAATATGGAAGTTTCGAAACGAAAAGGCCTATAACCGCCAAATAGGCTATAGGCTGTGGGCAAAAAAATGAGCACTCTGTGCTTTGCAGAAAGAATGTCTTGACAGCTCACTCCTCTGACATCTCTTTTCACGTTCCATCTCGTCTCCTTTCATTTGAACCATCTCATCTGAACTCATCTGACCTTCTCTATGTGTAAGGGCGTCTGTATGTAAAAGTTCCTTTATGTGAAAGTTGCTCTGTGTAAAAGGTTCTCTGTATGTACAAATTTCTCTGTGTCAAAATTTCCGTGTGTAAAAGTTTTTGTGTGTAAAGGCGTCGGCATGTAAAAGTTCCTCTGTGTAAAGTTCCCTCTGTTGAAAAAAAACTGTGTAAAAGTTTCTTTGCGTGAAAGTTTCTGTGCGCATTTGTTTGCCTGTAAAGACTTCTCCGTGCAAAAAATTCTGTGCGTAAACGCTTCTGTGTGTGTAACAGCTCCTCTGTGTAAAGCCTACTCTGTGTGAAAGTTTCTTCTGTGTAAAGACTTCTCTGTGTCGAAGTTTCCTTTCTGTAAAGACTTCTCCGTGTTAAAACTTCTGTGTGTAAAGACTCCTCTGTGTAAAATGTTTGTGTAAAAGCTTCTGTGTGCAAAAGTTCCTCTGTGCAGAGACTTCTCTGTGTAAAAGTTTCTGTGTAAGCGGGAGGCACCTGGCAGCGAAGCACAAACAACACTCTGACAAACCTCCATGGCACCTTGCAGCGGCACCAGCAAGCTCCAAAGCACAAAGAGCACTCAGGGCACCCTGCAGCGGCACCGCAGCACCAGCAACCAAGCTCCAAAGCGCAAACTCTCTCTCTCTCTCTCCCAAAAACGCATTTCGCGCGAGACACCCATCAAAACCTGATAGTTGAAGATGTGAAAACGAAGCTTTCGTGCGAGAATTCCTTGGAAAACTGAAAGTTGAAGATGGGAAAATGGAATTTTCGCGCGAGACTCAAAAACTGCAAGTTGAAGATGTGAAAACGAAGCTTTCTTGCGAGATGTCCCTCAAAAACTGCAACTGCAACTTGTAAAAACGAAGCCATCATTGCAGTGACTTTCATTGCAGTGACAGCTATTACAGTGACCTCCAAAGCTCCGCAATGTGGAAGTATAATAGACTCGTATAGGCTCGTATAGACTTCTAAACTTCCTTTGACTACATACCTCTTGGACACGAGCCCTGAATCCTTGGGCGCCCCTCACATTTGCGATGGAGCCACCTCACCACTCAGTTGGAGGTGGCCACCTGATTCCTAGACTTTCACCACAAAGGTGATCTCAGCACATTTTTTTTCGGATGCTAAAAGTGATGCAGGAGTGGTGCAATGAGGAATGCCTTGGGCCTTCAGTCCTGAAGTTGATGTGCCTTGGGTGCATCAGCACAGCATGCACAAGTTTAAGCTATACTGGATGCACTCAGCGCATCGCAGTGTGAACGGCTTTGCACAGCTGGGCCACTCCCAACCTCACTGCCCCGAGTATGTCCAGGTCACGTCCACGGATCAAATGCCCCAGCCAACTTCACGCGAATGGGAACTCACAATGTCTTGAAGCTATTGCCCACGTCTATAATCGATAAATAAATAAAGTAAATAAATAGCCTTATTTAAATAAATATAATATGTGATACATATATATATATACATATGTGTGATTGTGTGTGGATCTTTTGTAATCTTTTCATGCTCTTCCTTCCATCGCAATGCTTTGGCTCTTGAAAGGCCTGGGACTCGGTTGCAGTTGAGCCTGACCTCTTGGCTGATCACCTTTGGAAAATCATGTCGCGGGTGAGCCAAGTAAAGCGTGGTCGCTCTGCAGCATGCTGAGCCAAAGATTCTCTATTTGAAGATATCCGAAGCATCAACAATCTGAATGGTATACATAGTCTTGAATGAGAGCTCTTCCTCTCTCGCATCATTTACCCAACGTGTCTTTGTCTGTCTCCCCTTATCAGTCAAAAATGATCAGTACCTTTATTAAACTTTCGAAGAGTCAAAGGATATCAAACTCGATGAGTGGCAGGGCACACAAGCTCGAGCCCCGGCTGTACAAGCGGACACTAAGCCGCCCGGTAGCTAAAGAGCTGACTCTGCTCCGCAGAGCCTTGGGAGTCCATAGTACCACGATTTGTTCAAATTTGTTTTCACAAAGTCAGTTGACTATTTCTACGCGTTTCTACAGGATAATCTCGTCGGAAAGTCTCAAAGTCAACGCAGTCAGCACAGTCAGCGCATTTTGCGTACACTTTCCATTAAATTTAGAAAAGAAGAACTCACATTTAGAAATGATGCCTTCTAAAACGTTCGAAGGTCCTCAACAAAAGAGCGCTTCGCATCTGCACGCGACATCAAGTCGACTGCCCATCGACAGCTTCAGTCGGCAATTTCCTCTTCTTTGAACGCTGATACAACAGCCTCGTCCCGTCCACTTGTACCACCAAGCACTCCGTAACCTGCGGCTCAGGTCGATCCGTCACATTCTATGGTTGATAACGTCGCTTGGAACTCTTACACGTGGATGCACTGTCGTGAAAAGCGAAGATTCCTTTTGGCTTCGTGGTCCGAATCAGTCACAATCAGTCTCAATCAATCGAATCTAACCTGTTCCCATACTTTGCAAGCAAAGAGCGAAGTCCACGGCCAAGGCGGCTGAGCCAATTTCGTCGTGGTGTTGTCGGGGAACGCTCTGCAAAGGCAGTGAGACCTTTGCAGGTGCCAAGTGTCTTGAAAATGTCTTGAAATGTTCCAAGCCGAAAGGCATTGAAGGATATTGAAGGCTCTTTGAAACTCTTCGGTTCATGCGAATTGAAGTCGCCGTCCCTGCTGAACCCTACTGAACCAGGTCATACCTTCGCACCAGGCCTTCAGTGCGCAAACGAGGAGTGGTCGGGGATATTGGCGTATCTACCAGCATCACCTCCTCTAGGTCGCTGCCTCGTAAAATCTCATGAAGCTCTGCAGCGTTGCTTCGTTTTTTAAGATGACTCAAATGACTGTTGGGGCATCCTGGTTGGCTACAAGCATCTCAGAGTTACAAGTAGAGACTTCAACATGTTCATGCACCTCTAGTACTGCAGCGAAGGAACCATCAGTTGCCAGGTGCTGCAAGGAAATTGGAGCAACAGGCGGTGTTGGTACCTGCTCGTCGCTGATTGCCTGGCTGGGATTGGCTGTAACATTTCAGCAATGCAACGTATGAGGTCCATCGTTGTGCAACTGACGACTGCATACATCTGAAGACCTGACCTTTTCGTATCCGGTTGCAGCACTCGCACCGGTCCCACCATCTCCCACCGCTCGCGCCTTATGAAAGCCTCTTTCATAACCTGCTTCAGGAACTGCTTCGTAAGCCTGGGCCGGTTCGCATCATATGTCCAAAGACCCTGTATGGTTGGTCGCTTGTGGCTGCTTATTCTGTCTTTGCTGAATGGGACCTATTACTGGGCAAATAAGGCAAGGGCTCCAGAGTCACTCATTGACCAAGTGGGGCATGGCGCGTCATGATTGGCATCAGGTCCACCTGCACAGCGCATTGGAGTTCTGTTTTGGGTTGCATTCTGGAGCCGCCACTTTACACACCCGTTTTCTTCAGTAGATCTCCAAAATATCTCCAAAACAAGCTGTGACGGCGTGCGAAATGTCGCAGAAATACCGCTTGCTTCGCTATCATTTGCATCCAAGATAGTGCCCGGAGGCAACGCAAAATTGGTCTAAGGCTAAAAACGGTACTGGTGTCACTGAATTTGCAAAGCCACTGCCCAAAACTCAACCCCAAACAAGGCGCACGCACGTAAGCACGGCACCCAGAGCTGTTAGCAGAGGGGTAGACACTGCTAAGTATGCAAACATCTTCATGAAAATAGACTGGGAACAAGTGTCTTTAAGCATCGAATCAAAACACCACCTTGGGCTAAAAGGCAAAGGTTGCATGCTGCATGTGAAAGGAAAATCCCGCTTCTGCATCTTATTGGTGGTAGTTCAACATAGTTTCCCAGATGCGGAAACGTGGCTTCAAGGGTCCTCCAAGGCGCAAAAGAGCGCGGCAGAGGAAATGACTAAGGGATGAAATTATCCTAAAGTCGTCATGGTCAAGTTGACAAATGCCTCATCTCTGACTCAAGCAGATGCAAAGCAAGTACAATATATGAGTGCATAGACTCAGAAGGACAAGCAGAAACAGAATTGAAACGGTTCCAGTGCTGAGACCAGTGGGGCTATACTGCGATTGGAAAGCGGGTACCATATGGTACCCGCTTTCCTAGCTTTTTCTTTATGACTTTATGTTTTCCGGCCGTTCTGCACGACATCTACACATACTTTCCCCGTTCCCCTGGCCGTTGAGCCTGGACCTGGGGAGCTCGCCTCGCACAAAAATGATCATTATAGGCGAATGGTTGTCAGTTGGTTATCAGTTGTCAGCAATGTCATCAACATAATAAGTCATAAATAGTCATAATATAAGACATGAATGTGAACCAATGCTGAGTCTCAACCTCCATTCGGAAGTGGAGTAGAGATGGCATGGCATGGATTAGTGCCCCCGTGTTCATGCTGACCTCCACAGCGAAGCCCAAATCCTCCAAGCGCAAGCGCTGCTCCCTGAGACGAGGCTCATGTGGATTGGTAAAACGAGCTTACGTGAAGCTCTCGCACGAACAGGACATGCTGATGACGTGCATCGGAAATCGTCCAAACATCCAAATCCTTGAGTCATCTGTAGATATCTCGAAGCGACTGAGGCCAGTGCGGATCCTTCTGCAAAAGTCCACGGATGATTTCGACCATGTCTGGTGGAGTTTCCGAAGGCAAAGCGGGCGGCTGATGCTCCACAATCTGCCACACGAGGGCCAGCCTGGCATCTGCAGTGGCATGAGACCAAGAAGAGTTTTGTGGTGCAGCAGTGCTCACAGCTGCCGTCTCCGGCCAAGCGGCTGATTCGACGCATCAAACGGCCGCTGGAGCGAGGCCAGTTCGTACAAACCTGATCTTTAAAACGTGTGCCGCCCAACCAGGCCCTAAAAGGTTTAAGAATGAAGATGCAAAAAGGGAGACTTAAAGACAAAACATGACACAATTGGTAGATGAAACGTGATGAAACCTTATGAAACATGATGAAACAATATGAAACATGATGAAACCTTATGAAACATGATGAAACATGATGAAACATGACAAAACATGACGAAACATGACGAAACATGACGAAACATGATAACACTCGTCCAAGAGATGTCAAGAGGCAAATACCAAATGCCCAGGCATCCGCTGGTCGCCCATATGGCTTTCCAGAGGCCAACTCAGGAGGATGGTACGCTGGAGTCCCCAGTACCGTTCCTGACATGGGAACTGTAGGTGGTAAGGTGTACCAACTACGAACAGCTACAGAACATTATGGAACTACAGAAACTGTTGAGATCTATTGTATATAATTGTCCCAGTCTAATCCAGTCCTGCATAGCCAGAAGTTTCCAAAATTTTGGAAACGCCGAAGTCTGCCAGTTTCACTTGCTGCATGTGGCAATCTACCAGCAAATTTGGAGGTTTCACCTTGTGCAAAGGCAGGCTGACTTTGACTTGCACAGCCGTTTTTTAAACGACATGTTCCAGCGAAATGAGGGCGGTGGCATCCACAAAATTGAGTTCGTGTGAAGTTCTTCATCACTTTAAAATGCAAAAAACTAAGACCAAGTTGCGTCTCGGTGCAGGACCCCTTGGGAGTGGATGTAATGCAGGGCACTGCCAACCATGGAGAGAACACGCCTCAGCTTGGGCACTTTGGCGAGAAAATGGAAAAGGGGAAAAAAATGGATCAGTGGTGTGGATCAGTTGATAAAAATTCAATAAACTACTGTGTGAAGTTAGATTCTAGGCTCTAGCAAGAGATGGTTGAGATCTTCTGAAGCTGAGCAGCTGCTGAAACTGGCCGCTGAATGGTGGTTCTTTGTGCAGCCGCCGTGCCTTGATGTTATTCCCAAGATCACCTCGACCCAAATGAGTCACAGATCCAAGTGAGCCAACCGACATTGTGCCCAATTTGAATCTATCTGACACATCCGAAATTGGTCCACCAGGTGGGCTTGCCACGTGTATTATATAATATGGTTGCTGATTAAATTTCTTTTCGCCAGGAACGGCCATTCTTCGTGAATAAAAAAATTACTTTCGCGGAACTTTCGCCGACTCCATGTTTATGTTTCGCGGAACCCATGTTGAGCAACTGTTCCTCTTGTGACAAAAGCACACCAAATGATAATGAATAACTTTTTCAAAGCCTTGCAAACATGCAGCTAGCATCACGGAATCCACGTCTTAGGACACGCTGTTGCTGATTAGGCATTTTTTTGCAAGGCTTCCTGGGCCACTCCTTTCAAAATGCACTTTGACTTTTGCCCGCTGGTTCGCAAAACTTTCCCGCAACTTTCACGAAAATACCCCTAGTGTTTGGCTCTCGCAAACTCTCACTTTTGGAAGCTTGGTTGCTGCGTTTGGAGCTTGCTTCTTGGGACTTCAGAAAGCAACATTGGGCAGTACCAGCGGCAGGCCCAAGGATGTGCTTCAAGACCATGGTATTTGGCTGCGGCGAAGCCTCACCTTCGGAAGCCTGGCTGCTTATGAAGGGGCGGCAGGAGGTGGTAGCCCTTAACAGGCTGTATATATGTATACAATAAAAATGATTCATAATTTCCAACTTTCTCGAAACCTTCGCGAACAAAGGAAATACCTTCGCGAACTCGCAAAAAGACTTTCGCGAGGGCTCCCAGCATAACATGAACGGTCTTCGCAGTTCAAGCTCTTTACCAGGACCTTTAGGTCGATCGCCATATATACCTGTGTGCGTGTGCAGGGAGGCAACCCCTGTAGCAAAGGGCTATGGTATCAGACTTACTCCGGTGTCCAATTTTTAGCTATTCACTAGCAGGGGGCGACAGAGTCGCTGCATGGCTGTCCCCAACGAAGCTCCATGCAGTAGACTAGGATATGGTGTCTGATCAACTCCATACCTGCAGTTTTTCGTCGTTTCATTCCGTGAACGACTGTTTTCATTCAGTGTGTACAGAACAGCAATCCGTTTCAGCAGTTTCTTCGAACAGAATTCATCACAGCAGTTTCATTTTTTTTCCTTTTTTCTTTTGTGCTGAAAAAGGGGATCTCCAGATCCCTTGATGGGAAACAAATGTGTTTATTGTTCGCATCGACTCCACCTAGGCCCAGGCCGACTCAGTCAAAACTGGAACTGCTGACAACGCCGAGGCTGGGACCACCATCCATAAATTCCAGAGCTAGCCACACACACTTCCTGGAGGGATCAAACCTGAGAGATATGGATATGGAGACAAGCACCGAAGAAGTGAAGGGTACAACTTTAATCGAGTTTACAAGTTCACGGGTGGTTCATGAAAGCCCTTGAACATCATTGAACTCTCTCATGTCCGAAAGCATTCCAGCTCCCAAATAATAAACTTTCAGCATGATGTAGCATATGTTCCTTGTCCAGTCCAAATACATTGACTTCAATTGAATGGCGTGATTCTTTGCAGCTTGGATGCTGTACATCGTAGCAGCTAACAATGTGAGGATGGCGAAGCCGCTGTAAAAGCTGAGCCTTCAAAATGAAGCACAGTGACACACAGGGCCACTATACACAGTATCAGACAGACTTGAGTCATTTCTTTACATATTTGAACATACTGAGCACAATCTTAACGTCTCACTGGAGCCAGTGCTGTGCAATTTGGATCCTGTGACCCTCAGCACCCTCTGTTCGCTAATTATGTAATTACAGGAATAATTACATTATGTAATGTCATAGGCACATGAGTGTAAAAACATGTAGAACCATATGAAATCACATGGAATTACATTATGATTCATTATGGAATCATATGGAATTACATCAATCAATGTCAGACCGGACTACTAGCTCCATTGGCGTTGACTCCCTGTGCCTCCGCTAAAGTTGTAGCTGCAGCATTTGCAGCGTCTCTGTCATCCAGGTGGTCGCATGGCACTAGCTTCAAGGCTAACCTGGCAGTAGCACAATAATTCGCTAGCTTTAGCCGTGGAAACATTCTGCCAGCAGAGCTGGAGTCAAAAGTTTAGTTTTGGGATGCACTCACCACCCCCAAGTCTATTGCTCCAGATCGATACCGAGATTTCAAAAGTAAAAGGAGTCTATGAGCCAAAACTATCCAAAACTTACAGTATATATAGTTGATCATGTGCCAACACTGAACGAACATGCGTTTTAATCGCATTCGGCTTTATTCCCCCCAAGGGCCCCGCAGTCCCAACTTCATTGCAGCTCTGATGCTCTTGCCATTGCGAGTCCCTCACTAAGAGCCTTTGTTTGTTTTGGTACAGTAGGCAGCATCTCTCAACTTGAAATCAATCACCAAAAAACTGTCGCACTGTGGAGGAGAAAAAATAAACAGCTCATAGATGGAAAAGTGCGCCAAGGAGCACAACTCCAAAACTGCCGCGGCCGAGAAGTTTCAGCACCTCGTAATCGCTGATCCGCTCACCGGTTTGGGCAAACATTGCCACATGGCAAGACGATGGCTTGGGCACATGCAAATGCTGGCTGGTTGAAGATGAGTGACTGGAAGTGGCTTGCAAGAAGTTGCTTTATGTTGCTTGGTAATGATGTACATACAGCCTGCTACTATCTTGCTTCAATCTTCGATGATCTTTCAATCTTACATTGCACATTCTCGTTTTCACAGCTGCATGACATGAATGCGCTGACTGTGGCAGCTGCAGCATGCAAATGCACAATGCAACACAAAGCTTTCGGATCAGAAACTCAAGCTGCTCCGATGCAAATTGAACTGGAAGTATGGACACAGAATGAAGCACTTGCCACTTCAGAACTATCACAGTCGACAAACCCTTCACGGTAAAATCGCTTACCACATGCCCGGACCTGGCTTGACAAAGGAAGGGGGCGACGAAGCCTTTTAGGCCTTTCGGCAGCCAAGAAAACATGAACTCATGGATGCATCTGCAGGGTCGCGACCTAAAGTTCCTTAAGAACTGTCTTTGGGCCACAGGTTAGTGTTGTGATGGTGGAGCCCACTCTCATCTTTGAGGAAATGATGGCAGCTACAAACGGTGCCACATTTGACCTTGGGCTTACACTTTCAACATCTTTCAACTACGAATGAGCTCCACAAACCACTGGATTCATGCAGCTTCATTTGAAGCCAAGGACTGCATCGATGCGTCACGTCAGCTACAGTAATAAAACTCAGTTTAAAAATTAAGACGGGAAATACATAAAACTCATCACATCAGGATCAGGTCAGCATCTCCACCATGATGCCTCCTGGAAACAGCTGACGAAGCCGCCCAATTGTGACGCAGACTGCGGCTTGACTTGTGCCCTCGCCACATCTACAATAAGCGTCCAACAAGCGCTTTCCAGTCCAGTTCGTTCTTAAGACCTGCTGCATAATTTGGCCAATTTGGCCAAGTTGTAAGACCACTGGTCTAGACTTGTTGCAATCCTGCTTCTGAGTCTCACTTCTCCTCATCACAGAGTGAAATGAGAAAGCATCTCTTGGACTTCCTGAGCGGCGCAAGGTTTTGAAGAAATGACCTCTGGCTCGAGTTCACCCCCTTCTTGCCTCGAGGTCAGCAGCACCATGAGCGGCAACCACCACACCGGCCAAAGCACGTGCTGCCGCGGTTGCTACCTCCCTGTCAGAGGAGTCCTGCAATTTTTGTGCAATTTCAATAAAGGACGCAACAGGGCATCCTGCATTTTGATTGACACAAGGGTCGCTGCTTGTCCACATTTGTCCACATTGCTAACAGGTAGTGTGGTCCTCGAGAACCTGGTGCACCCCATCAGTACCAGCTGCCGTCGAACCATTTGCCTACAACGGAACTTGACAAGTCACTAATGGGCACTTGGGGCCACAGGATTCAGATCTAGCAGGTGACCATTGCTTCCAGGATGCGAGGACCATTTGTGCAAGTGCGGTTGCGACTAGGTCCACATGGCTGGCAGAGCCTGTCTCCTGGTTGAAGCTAGTTGGTTGAAGGAGCAAGTGAGAGACCCTGTTCTGGCTTTGAACTTTGCACCAAAGGTCTGGCATCACATCAGCCGTCCTCTTGCTCTTGTGTCGCAGGGATTGGCTCCGGGGAGGGACTCGCAGCCTCGTCCAAGACCGTGCTGCAGCTCCACTTGGAAAAGCCCTGCTACTCCAACATATATATAATAATGATAGGCTGCAGAGTGCAAGCTCACGTTTTTGACTGACTTCATATTCGGGAGCATTCCGGTGCACAGGATCTGCGCAAATGATGAAACATTAAACACATGAGAGAGAGAGAGAGAGTGAGTGAGTGAGTGAGTGAGACAGTACATCTTAACTGCGGAGCAGCAGCCAGGACCATGCGGGCGAGCATGTTTGCGGCGAGGGCTGTGTTTGCAGCATCTGAATGGCCACTGCTCACTTCCTGCCATATGCAAATGGCAACAGCCATCGCCACACTCGCTTTTGATAGTGTTATCATATCATTCCACCATATATGTATATATATATATATATTCATGTGTGTGTGTGTATGTGTGTGTGTGTCTAGTAGTATGACGTGATGCATCAACATCATCGACCCATTCAATGACAGTTGCTGGTCCTCATGCCGCAAACTGTCGGACTGTGTGTCAGACTTTGGATCTGGCGATGCCTTGGGTGAGATGTACCGGTGACTGCAAGATCTCATAGAATCAGTGCCATGTCAGTGCCATATATCAGTTTTCATCAGTTTTCCATATTTGCAAAGACAAACATGACAAACCCATCTCAGAATCCAGGCATTGCCCTGCAATCTCTTTGGTGTCGCCGAGATGCCAGAACCATTCGAGCCAGGATATTGGCAACAACGTCTTCGTGCACAATGTCTGAGCGCCCACTGCTCACATCCTGGCCCGATCTCCCCTACTTAGGCCGTACTCAGTTGCACTGAGATGGCTACATCCCAAGAACAGTTCACACACGCAGCTCGAAGATTTATAACATTTTATAACCCTGCAGGCAACACGTCGAAGGCATCAGATCCAGGCAATGGCGATGCCTTGGCTCGAGTCGGACATCCGACCCATTCGATCACAACCTGACTTCGGGATATGATTAATTATGATTCATTGCCTCGCGAAATCTGAGTCCAGATATGCGTAGTAACATGCAACCAAAATGCCATCATCATGCGAGCAGCAACGCTGGCAACAAAATCGGTGCTCACAGCATTCGGGCTTTCGCCACAAAATTCCTGCACTTGATCAGGGGTTGTCTCCAGCAGAAAACCAAGACAAAAGCATCCGCTCCTCTTCTTGTGTTGCACCTGGCTTCGGAACCGGCATCGCCTCAAATTGACACTCACCACATAGAAATGCACGTTGTTCCATGTTTAACGGTTTAACGTTGGGGGATTCAGGATGAGAAAGTTTGAGGCACCAAAGCAAGTGTGGGTCTCACAAGCGTTTTCCTCCACCATGACACTGACCCCATGAACAGGATGCGCGGTGTTTGCTTGAACAGTGGCAGGCTGAACAGTACCTCTTCTACATAGTTGGATCCTGTGCCAAATGTTGTCCGTTGAATTAGAATAGAGCGAGCTTCCCTCTGGTTCAGCCAACTGGATCCTGCTGCTTCAGCTTCTAGATTCTGAGATTCTTAGAGGAATATCTTTCTCTGAGCTGGTGTTTCACAGGCAGTACTACTTTGCAGGCGTCAAATGATATCAAATGGTACCTCGGTACTCGAAGCAAGCTTTGGCCAAGAAGCAAATGCCATTTGAGCCAGCGCGTTAGCGACAAGATCTGTGCTTGCAGAATCTGGACTCTTGCCGCTCATCTCCTTCACATCAGCACATGCACAAAACCCTCAGAAATCATAAATCCAAGAAATGAATCGCAGACACACAGTCCGCTCCTCTTCTTCTGTTGCACCTGGCTTCGGAACCGGCATCGCCTCAAATTGACACTCACCACATAGAAATGCACGTTGTATTGTTCCATGTTTAACGGTTTAACGTAGTGGGATTCAGGATGAGAAAGTTTGAGGCACCAAAGCAAGTGTGGGTCTCACAAGCGTTTTCCTCCACCATGACACTGACCCCATGAACAGGATGCGCGGTGTTTGCTTGAACAGTGGCAGGCTGAACAGTACCTCTTCTACATAGTTGGATCCTGTGCCAAATGTTGTCCGTTGAATTAGAATAGAGCGAGCTTCCCTCTGGTTCAGCCAACTGGATCCTGCTGCTTCAGCTTCTAGATTCTGAGATTCTTAGAGGAATATCTTTCTCTGAGCTGGTGTTTCACAGGCAGTACTACTTTGCAGGCGTCAAATGATATCAATGGTACCTCGGTACTCGAAGCAAGCTTTGGCCAAGAAGCATATGCCATTTGAGCCAGCGCGTTAGCGACAAGATCTGTGCTTGCAGAATCTGGACTCTTGCCGCTCATCTCCTTCACATCAGCACATGCACAAAACCCTCAGAAATCATAAATCCAAGAAATGAATCGCAGACACACAGTCCGCTCCTCTTCTTCTGTTGCACCTGGCTTCGGAACCGGCATCGCCTCAAATTGACACTCACCACATAGAAATGCACGTTGTATTGTTCCATGTTTAACGGTTTAACGTTGGGGGATTCAGGATGAGAAAGTTTGAGGCACCAAAGCAAGTGTGGGTCTCACAAGCGTTTTCCTCCACCATGACACTGACCCCATGAACAGGATGCGCGGTGTTTGCTTGAACAGTGGCAGACTGAACAGTACCTCTTCTACATAGTTGGATCCTGTGCCAAATTTTGTCCGTTGAATTAGAATAGAGCGAGCTTCCCTCTGGTTCAGCCAACTGGATCCTGCTGCTTCAGCTTCTAGATTCTGAGATTCTTAGAGGAATATGTTTCTCTGAGCTGGTGTTTCACAGGCAGTACTACTTTGCAGGCGTCAAATGATATCAAATGGTACCTCGGTACTCGAAGCAAGCTTTGGCCAAGAAGCAAATGCCATTTGAGCCAGCGCGTTAGCGACAAGATCTGTGCTTGCAGAATCTGGACTCTTGCCGCTCATCTCCTTCACATCAGCACATGCACAAAACCCTCAGAAATCATAAATCCAAGAAATGAATCGCAGACACACAGTCCGCTCCTCTTCTTCTGTTGCACCTGGCTTCGGAACCGGCATCGCCTCAAATTGACACTCACCACATAGAAATGCACGTTGTATTGTTCCATGTTTAACGGTTTAACGTTGGGGGATTCAGGATGAGAAAGTTTGAGGCACCAAAGCAAGTGTGGGTCTCACAAGCGTTTTCCTCCACCATGACACTGACCCCATGAACAGGATGCGCGGTGTTTGCTTGAACAGTGGCAGGCTGAACTGTACCTCTTCTACATAGTTGGATCCTGTGCCAAATTTTGTCCGTTGAATTAGAATAGAGCGAGCTTCCCTCTGGTTCAGCCAACTGGATCCTGCTGCTTCAGCTTCTAGATTCTGAGATTCTTAGAGGAATATGTTTCTCTGAGCTGGTGTTTCACAGGCAGTACTACTTTGCAGGCGTCAAATGATATCAAATGGTACCTCGGTACTCGAAGCAAGCTTTGGCCAAGAAGCAAATGCCATTTGAGCCAGCGCGTTAGCGACAAGATCTGTGCTTGCAGAATCTGGACTCTTGCCGCTCATCTCCTTCACATCAGCACATGCACAAAACCCTCAGAAATCATAAATCCAAGAAATGAATCGCAGACACACAGTCCGCTCCTCTTCTTGTGTTGCACCTGGCTTCGGAACCGGCATCGCCTCTTCATGAAGAGGTGGGACAAACTTCCGTGATCAATGTGTGACAAGACCACAGAAACATGGGTAGATGTGTTTCTCCCGTATGGTGGCTGCATGTCATACACATTCGTGTATAGAGTGCTGTCTGGCAGATCAAATCTCTCTGACAAGTATGCTTTACCGAGTCGCCGCTGCCATTTGTGCAAGAGCACCTGCAACGATGTCTGTGTCCGCAGCCTTTGAGTCCTGTCCAAATCTGGCTGCTACTCTAGCCGCTCTTTGTTTGTCACTTTGCTACTCCAGCTGCTCCTTCGTCGGCTCTTGACATTCCAAGTGCCGCAGCAATGCTTGCGCTACATCCTCCACATCCGCAGCAACCATGGAGGCATGCAACTCCTGACAAAAGGCACCAGGAACCCTGGAAGCATCCTATTCCATACACTGCCGACATCTTCCGATAACAGTTCTCTTGGCACGTTGGCTCTCATTCGGTGCCATAATGTGCAACGTGTCTTTCGCTCGCAATCCTCGATATGTCGTGCAAGCGCTTCAGCCACAAGCTGCACATGGAAGCCACGCGCTTTGAAAGGTGCTCGGCGAATAGCAGCCGCAGCTGCCCATGACCTGCCGCGACAGAATGAGCTGAAGATAGCTGAAGTCTGACTCAAAAAAATCTGATAATTTATGTTAATATATCGGTTATAAATTTATTGGTGTCCAGCAACCTTTGCAAAGATCGAGTCGCCACGGCCTGCTGTTTTTAGCCACATCCAAAGCCGTCAGCCCACGCACATTGCGAGCAAAAGGGTCCGCCTTTGCCACCAGCAATACCTGTGCATCAGATGCATCAGGCAGACCAACGATGACCAACGTGTAACATGCAGCAATTTGGCAACGCTGTCGACAGAGCCAGCAAGCCTGGACCACGGGCAGGCAATTGTGCCGCGCTGCAGCGTGAAGTGGCCACTGATCTGCAGATGGTGTCAAGGGCATTGCAGGTGCAAGGCCGTGCTCCAAAAGAGCCTGCGAGGATCTGCGAGGTGGCGAGATGTATGAGGTGTTGCACCCAGTAGCTTTCAGCTGTGACGTATGTTTTTGGCCAACGGAGCCCACCTGCAAGGCACTCAGGCACCTCACTTGCGGCACTGAGTTCTTCAGCAATCCCAAGTAAAGTCCTGCCGCAGGTCACGGTCAAAATCAAAAAAGACAACTGTTCCATACGGAATGAGACACTACTTGGGCACTCAGTGAATCCTGCCATAGCTTGGCTTTGAGGCTGCAGTGCATCCCCGCCCTTCGCGCACGCATCAAGAAAAACCTTCATGTAGCCATGTTCTGCCAGGATGCGCCCGACCTTGGTTCAAACCAACCGCAGGAAAAAAAATCAATCAGGGCACACGGTGCAACCGTGCCAATCAGCATCAGAGCCAAGTGGCAAGAGCCATTCTGCCAGCCTCCTCCCAAAGCAAGGGTGTCACTCAATACTCTGCCGGAAAAAAAAATCAATGACACGTCAGTCCTCTTCTTGTGGAAAGCCATCCTGTGCCACCAGCAGCTCAATGAGTTCTCGCCAAATATCAACACCGCGTTGCAATAGCAAGTGGGTCGGCTGTGCAGCAGCATCACCTTCCTGAGAGTATAGTAATGCTTTGGCCTCTGATAAACTGTATCAAACCACTGGCCGTTCTCAGCCCAACTGCACCAAACCTTCAAAGTACAAACGGAAACAAATGCAGGAAACGCATGGAAATGCAGTCTTCCTGCAGCTGTGTTTCCCAGGGTCCATCCCGCGGTAACAGCAAGCAGTAAGACACGACTTTTTGCTCAAGCTTCTTGAGGCCCATCAAGCGAAAGAAGCTTTGCCTTGGAGAAGGACATAAAAGGATATAAAAGGACTATATATAATATACACACAGGATTACACAGGTTTGCTGACCTTCTCTTGCAATGGTGGAAAAGCCGAATAATGTGTCAGGCACCATGCTGAGATTTTTTTCGCACCACTATGAAGTATGTTTAAAGTTTAAAGTGACCAAGCTACAGGAGTTTTTTGCTATCCTTCGTCTTTATCTTCGCTGGCGGGGCCAAAGACCTTCAGTCTCACAGCAACTCCGCATCAAGTCCGGGCCAAAGAAAAGCGGCAGTACTGTCAGTAACCCCCAGCATCCGCCAGCACTTCAGACATGTTACAGAATGACTGGTAAATGCCAACCCTCGACATCTTCCAGGAGGTGTGGCAGCAGCTGCTCACGCTGTGCCAGCTGCTCTGTCAAATACTTCCAAATTGTTGGTTCCTCAAAGGCACCAAAAGGAGGAATCGGTTAAAGTCACAAAATCATATGTTGGTTCATGTTCGTTCTACACAAAAATTCTAACACTTACGCTAATTGCGCCCGTAAGGAGCAATCGAGGCTCTCCAGCAAACGCAGCAACAAATAGAAGTGGGAATCCTGAGCGCAGCTAGACCAAAAACGGGTATTGTGGAGCTTTTGCATGAGCTTTCTTTCGAAAGCAAAGTCGACCCAATGTTCTGGTCTAATTGGTGCACAGTGCACAGTGTTTGCTACATGTGGGATGGCTTCTTAAGGCCCCGAGCTTTGTTCACTTCATCCAATGTGCTGCTGCATTCCATGCGGTATAATGAGACAAGTTGCTACATGATCTAGTGCCAAGTACTCTTTGAAGCTCTGGCGCTATGATGGAGGGATTCTGCCCATTCCAAAGGACGTTCGCCTTGTCCTTAGATGCACTGCTTCCACATGCAAAGCTGCAAACATGGTGTTTCTATGGAAATATGAACTGCGCAACTGACTGCCATGTGTCAAGCACCAGTAAAGAGGCATTTCCATCAAGCACAGCTCTTGCGACCTGCGAGCCGGACTATCCTCTTCTGAGTGCATCATTGCAAAGTCGATCTTCAAAGTCCGACAGCCCAACGACACCAAACATCACCAAACAATGTAACAATCCAGAATAATCCAGATTGATTGTCCATTTGCAAAGTCGATCAATCCAGAAACTTTAGCTCTTCTCCAACGGCCTGCGCCAAGGTGACTGTGTCATGAAGAGCAGTAACTGATGGAGGTCCAGCTTCCTGCCTGTGCCAACAGCAGGCCCCCGGTAAATTACTCAGTGGTGCTGCGGTTTTTCGATATTTTTCTCGGGTTCGTGTTGGCCTGAGCTCCTCCCGAAGTTGCTGACGATGGCTTATCCTTCCAGATTTGCCCGCAAGCACACGCGCCCGGCTCTGCCATGGTGGAGGCTGTCCGAAGCCAGCTTCTCGGTTGACTGGCGCCTGCGTAGCATCATCAGCTTCACAAAAGCCGATCAACGCTGCAGAAGCTGCACATGCCAACATCACCAGCTCGCAAAGCATCCAGCGATATCCAGCGCCTCAAGTGGAGGTTCTTCACATCGACAAGTGACAGCTGTGGGATCAGCCCAAGGACGATTCACATCCAAACGCCCTTGAGCACGGGAGCAGTGCCTGGGCACAGCGTGCCAGAACCCACGGACTTGGTCAAAATCAACTCCACTCTGGGGATGCGGTGCTCGAATGCCACCGTCAGGTTCTCAATATCCGTACCAATCACACTTCATCATTTAATCATTTAATCATACGAATCATCCCAATCCACCACACCCACCGTACCAAACCACCGTGCCCACAGTACCCCTAAAAACCATCCACAGCACCCCCCCTGGCTGAAACCCGAAAACAATTCGTTCATTGCTCCTGACATTTGGTAACATATAGTATAGTCATAGTCAACTCCTTTTGGCTGCTTCGATCCAGCAAGTGTCAAGCAAACAGCAACATCAAGCAATACAGCGATGACTGATCTACAGTATCTACAGTTGTCTTGACAAGACGCCCTAGCGAACCTCCACCAGCATCAAGTAGAGAGACCAGCTCACGTTGCCCTAAAAGACCCAATTGCTTGAGAGCACCTCGCCAAATCGACGAAGCTCAGAAAATCGAATGGGCAATGTCGGGCCACATGGCACCGTATTGCTATTGCAGGAACGAACCCATTAAAGTTTATTAATTAATAATTAAAGTTTGCAGTGTCAAAAAATTGCAAAAATATCGTTCTCGTGTTCCGCTTCGAACCCGTTCGCTAAACACACCTGCCTCGTTCAAGGCCAGCAGCAGTGAAGCGACTTTTGGACTTGAGGCCTGCTGTGTCCTTGAAAAGCTCACGAGCCTGCAGATGGAAACAATAGTAAGAGAATGCAACAGAAAAGGATGACAAGCAAATGAAAGGAGGCTGAGCACGAGCACTGGTACCAGAGATGGAATCAACTGCCTGTCATGATCAATTCAGATTATAATATATATATATACATGTATATATAGTCATTATTGATCCTTTGGCCTTTGAGACTGTCGGGCGAAGGTGTGGGTAGTGCCAGAGCCTTTTGAATGACATCTTTGAAAACGGTCCTGCAGCAAATCCAATGGTACGCCATCACCAAAACGTGACATCTGCTCCCATGCTGAGGCTTGAAGTTGCCGATGATATCGCTGTTCAGCGCAATCTGAGTTCAGCGATGAGCAAACAAAATATCAGCAAAGAGGTCATCAAAACATTGTTGTTGCATCATTTGCTGCAACTTTCCAAGGTGAAAGGAAAACCATAGTCGGAAAAAAAAAAAATCATGGCTGTTCTTGTCAAAACACCACAGCTGTACTGCATGAGTTACAGTCACCCAGGTTCAAAAATGTCAGAAAGAACTTTGACCTCTTGCAAATATTGTGTATTTATATGTATTTATGTGTATTAAATGTGCGTGTGTGTGTGCGGCACAGTTCAGGGCTTCGGCATTGCTTCCATCGGCAAATTTTGACAGAGCTCCATCATCCATGCCACTTTGAATAAAGACAATTGAAGCATATTGAAGCACTCTTTTGATTGCTTCACTACACTACCGGCCCTACCGGCCTTCATCTATTGTCCGGAACCTTCTCCGCGTGGCATCAGCGACTATTTCTTCATGCAGGTCACCTGTCAGATTGTCCCGCTACGTCTCCATGGTAAACAGCGCTGTTATCTGCACTGCTCACATTCTGCGTACATTCTGGGCAAATTCTGGGCACATTCGGCCTTGTTTCTGAATGAGCTGTCGCTTGGCAAGGCGCTCGCCCAAAGCCAAACGAACACGTTCCAAGTCAACAAGGACCTTTTCAACGAATTGGGTATCTGCAAAAGCACCTCATGCCATGAACGCAAGGTCAAGGGAAGTTCCGGGAAGATATGGGAAGTTCTGGGAGGTTGCAAAGATTGTTGCCGAATTCTCTGTCTGTGTCCTCCGTGGTGCCAAGATGCGATCCACAGATGGCCATTCTCGGAATAGAGCTGCGCGGGCACGTCGCTGAAAAACATGCCTGAAAGCAGTGGGGTATCTTGGTGGTATTCGGACTAGGACCTGTTTATCATAGTAAATTCAAGAAACGTCCACCAGAATCTGCTCCTCTGGTGGCTACCAAAACAAAATGCCATCTTGACTGCAAGCGTAGCTGCCTAGCTTGCCTGTCCTATTTTGCCCTGACATGGCTCTAGTCATGGGACGGCCCGAACGCTCGCCTTATTCTTGGCAAACGGCTGTCTGGGCGACGCACGCTGTCTGCAGGAGTCACAGCTCTTCCAGCGACGCTTTGCCTGCCATTCCAAATTTTCCAAGACTCGAAAAGCTTCACTTAAGCATGAAATGCCCGAAGCACTGCAGCAGCCCTGTGTGGTTGCTTGCTTCAAAGGCACTCCTCGCATCAATTGTGCACTAAAGGCAGACGCATGTTTGAGATTCTGCTGCTGCTAGCGTGATGCACCATGCCTGCCCGAATCATTTGCATCCAAGGAGTTCACCAAAGATTCAAAAGCTTCGTGCTTCAAACCTCAAAGATCTGCAGACGTCTATTAATCTGCTTCAACACTCCCCAAATGCACTTCACAGATTGTCATTTCAAGCTTTCTGCACCAGAACCCTCCGGAACCTCACAAGGTATCTGCACCAGAAACCTGCAGAACCTCACCGAGCATCTTCTCCGCCAAAACCCTCCGGAACCTCACAAGGTCTCTGCACCAGAACCCTCCGGAACCTCACAACCTCACCGAGCATCTTCTCCGCCAAAACCCTCCGGGACCTCACAAGGTCTCTGCACCAGAACCCTCCGGAACCTCACAAGGTATCTGCCCCGGAACCCTCCGGAACCTCACCACGCATCTTCACCTAGACCCTCCGGAACCTCATCAGGTAGCTGCACCGGAAACTTCCGGAACCTCACCAGGTACCTGCACCAAAACCCCATAGAACCTAACCAAGTATCTGCACCGTAACCCTCCGGAACCTCACCGAATACCTGCACCGGAAACTTCCAGAACCTCAGCAGGTATCCGCACCGGAACCCTCTGGAGCCTCACAAGGTATCTGCACCGGAACCCTCCGGAACCGCACAGAACCCTCCGGAGCCTCAGCAGGTATCTTCACCGGAACCCTCCGGAACCTCACGGGGTATTTGCACCGGAACCCTCCGGAACCTCACGAGGTATCTGCACCAGAACCCTCCAGAACCTTGTCCGGAACCTGGTGTTGAAGCTGCACCGGATCGCACCGGAGCTAATCTGGGCTAAAGACACCACAGCAAAGTTTTTCTGTTGGGGAAAAATATATAGTTAGGGAGAGAGAGAGAGAGAGACAGGAAGAAAAATAGATGCATGTCTATTCATATTCTTATAGATAATTACAGATAGAAATATGTCATGATTTTAGTTGCATGACATATAGACCCAGTTCAACATTCCGAAAATGATTTTAGATAAACTAAGGGGCAAGGTGATCCAGCCAGAGTTGCACTAAAATATCTTCAGTTAAAGAATTCCAGATACCGCCACCTTTGGTCTCATAACCGGACGGGGGCCAACCCTTCTCTGTTCGCCAGTTGGAAGAGCTGGCAAGCGACGCACTGGAGCTTCCAGCACAGAGGCATCCAGACTTTCCAACCAGGTCAGAAGTGGAGAGGCTGAAACCTGGGCTTTGACGGCGACACCGGGAGCATCGTCAGTGCAATGTGTGCAACCTTGTGCAACATTGTGCACCCATATGGACTCTCCACGTGCAGCCCGCCTCGGTATCTGCGCTTTCTGGACGGTCCATGGCCACACATTCGCGAATTGAATGCTGCCTGGGCCTGGTCAATTCCCATCAGTTCTGGGAAAAGTGGTGGCACGTAGAAGCTGTGTGGAGATAGACTTATTAGTTACTGCCCGGTGAGAACCTTCCACGTGACGTGGGAAGTCAAATATGTCGATTCATATCCAAGCACTTTTTTTGGCCTGTCATGCCCAGTCTCACAAGAACTTGCAACAGTTTTGCTCTGTGCAGTGGCTCTACGGGATTTTGAGGATGAATGTACGATGTCTGCATCACAGTGGGAACCCTGTTTGTTTGATGTTTGATATGGGGCTGCTAAACTCAAGACACTGCAGATGAATTGTTGCAAAACGTGACAACAAATGAGGTCAAATGACAACTCACGACAACTCCAAGAAGGGTGGAAGTCTAATCATAAAAGGCAAATACAAGTAGATTCTCAGAACATCTCAGCCAGGTCAGAGGTCAGAACGACATTGAAGCTCGTCAAGCACGACATTCGTTCTTTTTTCGCGAGCGAACTTTGGCAGTGAGAAGGATTTCAATGAGAAACTTCCGCCAAAAAGATGCTGGCACCGAACATGCTGGACGCGCCAGTCGGGCAAGCCAGAGGTGGCAATTTGCCTTTGCAATGCCAAAATAAAGCCCTGCTTCAGACTTCATCCTATCGTCCCTATCCGCTGAAAATCACCTCACTTTTTAACACCGTTAGTCTGCTTGGTCTTTGGGACATCTTTTGGTGCCGATGCAGTCGCGGCAATATCCACCGGCATGCAGAACGCCAAAACTTTCCCGGCAAGGTACGGCTCCTTAGCAGCGGCGTTTCAGTACTTCAATTGCTCAAGACAGTGCTGATGTCCTGGCATGTCCTGGCGACCCCTCGCCTGGTGTCCCACAACCGCCTACATAAATCAAAACATGACCAACAAAAAAAAAGCGAAACTATGCGAAACTGGCTTCAGATATCTTGTGGCAAGTCTCGTAGGAAGCCTTCCACTTGCCATAAGTCTTGCTCTGGGCAAGCATCTTATAACTGGCTGGCTCATCCACAAGGACTGCAAAGCAGTGAGTGATACCAGCAGCCCGGCTTTCCTTTACATCCAGCTGCTCAAGCAAATCCTCGTGTGAGTAGCGTCCAGATCCCAAAGGCTGTAATGAAACAGCAATTTTGCCGTCAATGCCTGCAAGAGTTTGGTGCAATGGATGCAGGAGATGGATACAGGTCAAAGGCCAAGCAGTTGCAACATGGTAAACCTAATGCCCAAACTGCCCAAACCAATCGATTTACCTGACATGTCCTGAAATATCCTGACATACCTGACATTGCCCCACCACAGTCTCATCGTGCCTGGGAGCTTGCTGATGGCTTCTATCGCCTTCATCATTTTGCCATACTCATCACTATCTTCCTTCACTTCCTTGAGCTGCAAGCCATGCATGACCAGCATTGGGTCACGTTTCTTCGCATGGACCAGATCCAGGCCCAATGGCGAGGTGAAGGACACAATCTTTCGTGCATGGGGCGCCAGTGACGCCGACCACTCTCTGCAGTAAGCTTCACTGGTCAAAACAGCTTTGAGAGCATCTGTGCTGTCTGCCACGACTGTCAATACATGGCTCATGTCCTGACTGCATTGCATGATGTCAGGCCAAGCATCCTTGGAAAGTGAATCCTTGTCGAGGCCTCTGCTGCCAATACGATCAAAAGAACACAAGATTCCCGGAAAGTTCACGAACTTTTGCAACATGTTTTGAAACTTGCGCATCTCTGCTTCTCTGAGGGCAGGCATCTTGAAGACAACGACATGCAACAAACGCTTTGTGTAGCCAAGAGGAGGTTCATCATCTGTCCCCCACTCCTGCATGCACAAACTTCGTCCATTGTGCACCATCATCAGCCTTGGGGCATGGTCTTTGGGCCAATCTGCCTCAAAACCGATGGGGGCACTCACATATCGAACTCCTGCATGCATTTGAGCATATCGGACGCGCCCGTGGCCATAAACATGCAGCTTGCTCTTTACAGCACGAGCCTGCTCGTCAATCATGTCACAGCCAACTGCTTTGATTGCATTCTTACGGGTCTTGTCAAAAGGCAGTCCCTGTCGGGGCAAAAAGTGCGAAAATGTGATGACAGTGTCAAAGCCGCGGATGTCTAGGAACTGCTCATTTAGCTTCATCATGTACTTCCAGAGCTGAACATCTGCATCCATAGGCCAAGTACATCTTGAATTGAACTTGGCGTTGGGATCTGGGAAGGGGTCCTCCTGATCAAATTCAGCACTGCACCAGGACAAGAGCGGCATAACCAAAACACCTTCACACACAGGAGCCGGGAAGACATCAATCCCCAGTTCATCGCATGCTGTGAAGATTTCGTTCATCTTCGTGAGGGAATCAGGGTAGCGGGCAAACTCCGAGGCCATGATTTGCATCTCATGATTCCCAAACGTGTAGAAAACTCCGCGGAATTTTGACTTGAGCGTTGTAAGAGCTCGCATCACCCCTACTTTGGTGTCTGCAACATTTCCAGCAACAATCAAGACATCATCCAAAAAGGCAAGGTCATCAATTCCATGTGCCCAGTCTTCGTTGTACTTCTGGTCGAAGTGCAGGTCAGAGAGTGCAAAAACCCTTGTCGTGCCTGGGGTTCTGCGGAGGTCAAGCCAAAATCGCTTCTTGTAACGGGCCGTGGCTGAAGCAGATTTCCAAACCACCATCTCTTTCAAGCAGATGTTTCGACCTTTGATGGAGGGCTTGTGATCAGAGTTCAAGTGAACACCCTTGGCGAACTGAATGTACGCTTCTTGATGAAAGCCACTGCCTAGGAGTGCTACTCCCAGCTGAGAATGCGCACTCGACAGGCCTGGTTGGGCTGCTATTGCCTCCTTTCCATCTGCGACTGCAGCATCCCAATTTCGGATTCGGCAGAAGGCAGAAGAACGATTTGTGAACAACACACCCCTCAACAGTGCATGCTCATCTGGCTTATCTGACCTTTCAATGTCTGCAGTGACCAATGGAGGCAACTGCGCGATCGCCTGAGTGTAGAGGGCCACGGCAAGTCCCAGCTCGCCTCCTCTAATGGCCTCGTTGCCCTTCTCCTTGACTGCATGAGCAGCATTCGGGTTGGGGCCATGAAGTTGCCTCACGGCCTCCTGCAAAGCAAGGACGGCGGAAATCAACGGGTCCATTTCGACAGACTTGGCGTATGCATCAGCTGCCTCTTGTCGGAAGGACTCCCCGAGATTCCATGCTGCCTGACCCAGGCGGCTCCAGGCACGTGCCCATCGTGGGGCGAGTTTTGAAGCTCTTCGTGCATGGCTCACTGCAGCTGCAAAATCTCCAACTTTCACAAGACAAGCTGCACGGTTGGAGAGGACCTTGGCCGCTTCGGGCACAAGATCTGGACCTCTTCTTTCACCAAGGTCCACATCTTCCTCCTCTTTGTTTTCCTCCGCATCTTCCAAGCCTGCATCTGTTGGCAATCTGACCCGCAGCTCTTCCAGCCTCTTGGCATAAGCAGCGCAAGCTATCCAATAGCTCCCTTCTTTGAAGGCTTGATCACCGATAATTTTCCATGGCATCGACCTATCTGGCCTTGACAGTGCTATCCTGTCGTCATAGACCGATCTCGGCAGCAACGAAGGTGGCATGACAAGCCGCGCTTGCGGCAAAAGGAGGAAGGCAGTTGCCTGCAAAATGGTGTTCAGTCGTGCTTTGAGCCGGTCCCAGTCACTTGCAGCCTGCTTCTTCCCACAAGCTGGGCAATCCAAGCTCACTGCGAAAAGACCCAGGGACGAAGTCAAGAACGTCAAGCTGCTGGGTGGTTTTGTGAAGAGACGAATCGACTCACCCACTGGCCTCACGGGAAACGCTATTTGCGGTGGCAGTAGTTGTTGTGGTTGTTGTGGTTGTTGTGGTTGTTGTGGTTGTGTGTTGGTTGTTGTGGTGGTTGTTGGTTGGTGGTTGCTGTGGTTGCTGTGGTTGCTGTGGTTGCTGTGGTTGCTGTGGTTGCTGTGGTTGCTGTGGTTGCTGTGGTTGCTGTGGTTGCTGTGGTTGCTGTGGTTGCTGTGGTTGCTGTGGTTGCTGTGGTTGCTGTGGTTGCTGTGGTTGCTGTGGTTGCTGTGGTTGCTGTGGCTGCTGTGGTTGCTGTGGTTGCTGTGGTTGCTGTGGATGCTGTGGTTGCTGTGGATGCTGTGGTTGCTGTGGATGCTGTGGTTGCTGTGGTTGCTGTGGTTGCTGTGGCTGCTGTGGTTGTGGTTGCTGTGGTTGCTGTGGTTGCTGTGGTTGCTGTGGTTGCTGTGGTTGCTGTGGTTGCTGTGGTTGCTGTGGTTGCTGTGGTGCTGTGGTTGCTGTGGTTGTTGTGGTTGTTGTGGTGGTGTGGTTGTGGTGGTTGTGGTTGTGGTGGTTGTGGTTGTGGTGGTTGTGGTGGTTGTGGTTGTGGTTGTGGTTGTGGTTGTGGTTGTTGTTGTGGTTGTTGTTGTGGTTGTTGTTGTTGTTGTTGTTGCTGTTGCTGTTGCTGTTGCTGTTGCTGTTGCTGTTGTTGGTGGTGGTGGTGGTGGTGGTGGTGGTGGTGGTGGTGGTTTTGATGTTTGTGTTTGTGTTTGTGTTTGTGTTTGCGCTGATGCTCGTGCTTTTGTTTGTGCTTGTTTTTGTTATTGTTGTTGGTCCTTGCTGGTGTTCCGTATTGATGTTCAAACACAGAAATGCTTACCGCTTAATTACAACATTCTCTACCTCCTGAGGCGCGAGTGCCCACCCCTCAAATCTAAAAGGCATCACTCAATAGCTTTCAATCTGGGACTGCAACCGTTGAAGTGTGGGATGCAGCCTGCCTGAGCTCAATTTCAGCCATGAACTTTTCGTTCAGCTCCCGGCGGCGCTGGCGCCGCTCCAACAGCTCGTGCAGCATGCTGCCATGGCCGCTGGGCAAACCACCTTGGATAGGCCAAAGGAACCAAGGAACATGGCTCGTGGTTTAGGAAAACAATGTACCAGCACCATGCTACCATAGAACCTAACAACAGCACGCCGCTGCTTCTCTTTTTTCAGGTAGGGAACCCCAAAAACAAATTGAGCACATGGGGCAAAGAAATCCCCGGATGGCATGGCAGCACTAATCGCTTCGGGGACAGTACCGAGCTAAGAGGTGCAGAATAGAGTGGCAAGGTATACGGCTTCACTTCTGCAATATCCATAGATTGGAATACGTGGTCTGTCTTGATGGGTATGCGCCCATCTTTTGAATTGTTGTTAGCTTAGCTGCACTTACACTGCTATGATGGCGCCACATTGAATAGATTGGATCAATTCTATGCAAACGCTGAGACACAAGTCACTCAAAAGACTCGCTAAGCCGCTAAGCCTTCATCCATGGCACTCCGAGCAGCACTGATTTGGAAGCCACCTTTTGGCCCAAGCCCAAAGCGCTGCAGAAAATCCCGACGCCCTGGAGGGGGAGCAGGTTCAATATGATGCTGCGTGGCAACCTGCCAGGGTTTTGCCCGGCAGGGCATGGTGGGAGCTGGGTGAACTTGGGATCCAAAAACTCACCTCCCAACACGTACCAGATTGATCAAAATTGTTTTGCATGGGTGGCATGCATCGTTTCTTCTGCGAAGACATTCGGGAAGAAGCGAGTTGCTTTCAAACAGTCTTGAAAAAATTACCACCACTGAAAGGTTCCGGGACAGGCGTCCCCAGCCTTGGACCCCAAAGCCAGCTTCAAGGACAGATTCAGTGCACCGTTGCCCACGCCCAGCCCATGCAAATGCAAAAGGATGTTGCCTTCTTCCCCATTGCAGCCGAAGAATGGATTCCTCACCACTCTTTCCAAGGCAAACTCCCCTGAAAGTCTTGCAAACCATATGGCTTTGAGAGGTGGGGTAAAATGAAACCTGTGACTCATGCAGCAAAAGTTCCGACCCCAAATGAAAATCTGCCGGCCAGCAAATGCAGGAATTGAGGTGGAGAGAAAGGCTTCCTTCCTGAGTGACGGACCTAAGTGCACAGTCTCCCTGAGCTTTAGATCCTGCCCATCCCTCTCCAAAAATAGATGTGGCTTGGAAGAAAAGAGAAATCGGATCGTGTCAGCCTCCCTTCCCTCGTGCTGATCGCCCTGACGGCGAAACTCCACAGCCCAAGGTTGCTCTGCACCAGATGGGAGATCTAATCGGAAGGTTTTCAACTCTTCTTTGTAGCCTCCGTAGCTGCGGTCCTTGACCAGCCGGGTTCGCTTCAGAGTTTTCTGACCACCGAAGACAAACTTTTCGATTCTGCAGTGAACTGGCACTGTGATGATCTCACTGGGGAGCTTTTTGTTCTCTTTGGCCTTTTGCAGCATTCTCTGCAAAGCCTCACCTGCATCGAAACCATTTTTGTCTTGAGGCTTCTTGCCGTGCGACTGCGCACTAACAACGTCTCGATCGCGTTCAAAGTCATACTGCCGGCGAGTTGGATCATCACTAAGCAACTTGTATGCATTCTTGATCTCCATGAAAATTGTAGCAGCTTCATCCTTTTCCTCTTGTGTTTTTCCGGTTTGCTTATCTGGGTGATAATTCAGCGACAGCTTCCGATACGCCTTTTTGACTTCGTCATTGGTTGCGTATTCATCCACTCCTAAAGTCTTGTAGTAGTTCACAGTTTTGTCATATTTGAAAGTCTTTGGCGCCTCAAAATCTGAGTCCTTCGGTTTAAAGCTTGGATCCGACTGGGCACGTTTCTTGTCGCGCTCACTGAATTGTTGCCAGGCTTTTTCATCAATCTCCCTCATGCGTTGCATGAAGGGGCTTTGCTGAAATCTTCCTGGAGCTGCCGGGACATCAGGGTGCTACATGGTGCTACATGGTGCTACCAGCTACCAAATGCAAAAGCAATCTTGAAGAGTTGCATGTGGCACTGAAGATCCCTGCGTCTCTGTGTCTCTTATGAAAAACCCTCTAGGCCCATGGCAGCAATCGTTCTATCCGAGTCACTTCGGTCTTCTTCTGTAGTTTCTGGTCTTGCGCGCTCACCCAAGCGGGCAACTTGATCTTGCCTGTAGCTGAAAGAGCTGTCCTTAGCTTGGTCCGAAGACTGGAACAACATAAGTTAAAGCAAACAAAAAAAGGCCTTCCGTTTCCTGTTTCAACCTCACCTTAGCCAAGAATAGGTCCTTTTAGTACGTTTCTCCAGTGCAACTCAAGCAAATGCCTGCTTTCGCACCCTGCAAGCTATATCACCGAGATCAAGCAACAGGTGAGTCGAACGAGGTGCAGCTCTTCACAAACAATACAGAATCACTAGAGTGACTTCCACTTCGTTCTGGTGAGCAATTCCATCACGCAGGATTTCTCTCATTATGAAGAAAAGTGATGTCGTGATCTGCATGTATGAAGCCCAGTAACATAGGTTGTGACCTTAGCGCAGCCATGGGTTGAGTTCTCAAGTTGCACATTTGCAACTGCTCCAGCTTCATCTGCGTTGCACCTTTCAAAAGAATGTCATGCTCTCTTGCCAACGTTTGATTTCTCAAGCAGTTTTGGCCGAGCTCCTGGCAGACATGGCCCCAAAGGTTGCTCAGGACGCAAAGGCAAAAGCGTCTCCCGGTCGTGATTGATTCCAACTATGTCGCTATCGAAAGTTTTGCTCTTCACATTCTTGACCGGTTGAGGGTTTGGCTTATTTGAACCTTCTTTTAACCCTGGCCCTACCTTTGCCTGTATTGTCCAATGACTCCTGGAAAAAAACTGTGGATAGACAGCATGCTAGTGGAATCACATGGACTGTCATGTCTGTATTGCAAGGCTCAGAATAAGCCTGAATCCAAGCACAAGAAAAGCAGAGAAATGCCTGTCTCTGTGGTTGTTCAGAGATTCTGCATGCTTATAAAACTATATAAAACTTATAATCCTTTTCTGGTGGTGAGGCGGCTTTGTTTGAATTTCAGCATTCAACATTGAAAAAGAGCGGTAGCAAGCTACGAAATACCAAATCAAATCTGTCTGTTTTGGCAGCGCAATGCAGTTCACAGCCTTTTTGTGGCCAACATGTGTGAGTGCCGTCGGACAGGTCACAAACACAGCGCAAAGCGTGCACTTTGCAAGCTGCAGGGCAAAAAGTTCCAGCTTAGCCGGAAACGGATTGGACCGATTGAAAATAAAATGACGTTGGATAGAATGAGCTTGATGATCAAATTAAATGGCGTTGAGAAGATTTGGCCATTTTCTGGCCGCACTCTCATTGTGAGAAAGCACTGAAGACATGAAGTGGGTGTCGACAGAGTTCACCTTTGAAATTTTGACCAGAAACCTGCTGTGCTCCTATCATGACTTTGGTCTCGCCTAAGGGTATTTCATGACTTCCTGGACGAAAACAAGCTAGGCAACTTGAGGTCTCTCAATGTTCTTCTGGGCGCTGGCTCCTACGAATGCCCAGGTGCTGAAGGGTATGCAGACTGCTGTTAGATAACAAACAAGGAAAATACACGGCGGAATCAATGAAAGGCTCCAGTTCTTACGTCTTTCGAAAGTCTCTCCTTAGGAATTGGAGGAGGTGACCCATCAAGCGGACCCCGAACTGGTGCCTGACGAGAGGGACCACACACCACAGCATCATGTACAAAATTGCCACATGATAAACTTGGAAATTATGCGTATGCGGTTGTTTCAAAATTTACATCGCTGCCTGCCTTTTTGGAAGGCCCGAGGATGTAGCGCCCGAGATCTTCAGTTCCCACTGCCGGCATGAATTCCTGGAACATACGCACCAGCCGCTTCCGACCACCATGGGAGTTTCGCTCACATTTCCAAACTGGACTAATTCCTCTCCAAGTGTCCTTCACATCTTGGGCGCTAATCCAGCCTTGCAAACCGCTGTCGTGGCAAATTTGGTAGCTGCCATCGACAGCATCAATACCTGGGTGCACGAGAGTGGTGGAGGAATGTTATCCAAGTAATAAAACACATATACATAGATATGCATTTATATATATATGCATAAGAATAAATATTATATATATATGACCATACATATATATATATAATATATGTGTGTGTGTATAGATAGATACATACACAGATTGCATGTTGTTGTTCCTGGTTCCTTGTCGTGGAGATTCCAGACCCTTGTCGGCAAAGCCATTCTATCTTGGGCCAAACGGAAAACTGAGGTTTCATTGATCCCGTGCCAGGCCAATGGCAAATCCAAAGTCCCAGGTTTGCGATCCAAAGCGCACGTCACCTTCTCCCCTGCATGAATCTCCCCAGCAAGTGGAGCATCGCGAGTCGGTTTTTGATAGACCTTCACCTAGTCTTCGGCAGTGGCCAGTACACCAGAAAGACTGCCCATTGACTGATCGAGAAACATCATAACGAATCATAACCTTTGTTTCGAGCGACCTTGGAATGATGGCTTTGTAGCTGTGCTTGCGGGCGAGGGCCACGGTGATAGAGAAGCACCTTGGCAAATGACCTTGTTACCAAAGGTCCTCGTGAACCTGAAAATAATGTTCTTTGTTGTCTTTATCTGCCTCGTTTTGAATAATGGTGAGATCTACAGGAATCAATCATGGAATTACTACAATCTATTTTATTTTATGTAATGACCTCCCCCTGCTCCCTTTGAAAGGAAACCATCCAAAGAGCTACATGGGGCGCTTTGTACACAAGCTATGCATATAGCCTGGAAACCCTGGAGCAACGAAACTGATACACTGAAAGGATGCGAAAGGAAAATTTCGGTGTATGAAGGCAAGCCACTGCGCGCAAACCGATTTCCGCACCCTTGTCCCAGAACATCAGGTTCTTTACCTTTGCGGCTGAAGCATTGGCGATCGCAGGCTACTGCAAATATCCAAGGACGGCCAACAGATGCCAAAAGTATCAAAAGTGACAAAATTGTTCGGCCAAAATTAAACGAATGAAAACTCTTACCATGTTACGCATCGATTGCTCCATTCCTCTGCGAGGATCCTCTGCCAGCCATAGAGTGCTCCAGCCATCTGACCAACAATTGCACCAACCTAAGAGATCGTAAGAGATCGTAAGAGATCGTCTGCGAGCTGAAGGCGTGGCTCACAACCCATGTTCCAACAGCAAATGGCTCACATTGACTTCATGAAGCAATTGCTCTGACTGAACCGTAAACGCATGTACAGGGATGCCTGTAAACGCCGTAAACGTGTCAACTCCACACCTGGAGCAACTCGGCAAGTGTCGGCAAGCGACCGTATCTGCATCACCCAGCAGATTCACAGCCTTCTGCAATGCTGCCGAAAACGTATTGGAGTTCCACAGGGCCCAAAGGGCCATTGCCAGGCCATCCATGCCTGGAACAGCTGAACCGGCTGAACCCATCGAAACGCGTCTGTCTTGCAAATGGAGTCACGAGGCAAGCACAACAGGCAAGAAAATCAGCCGGACAAGCTTGATATGCACACAATCTATATGCATGTGCATCCATACATAGGGACTATTCCAGTGTGCATACTTCAGGGGTGTAAATGCACGCCAAAAAAATGATCAATGCATACATACCATACTTATACAGTATACGTGTACGTACATTATGTACATACCGGTTACCAGCATATGACGAATCGGTTCAAGGTGGCTCTGCTGAGATAATTTTGGTGCGGCCCGCAACTATGGCCAGACTCGCATGCAGTCTGGCGGCAGTAGGCTCCAAAGTAACTTGGAGTCGTTGGATGCCCATTGTACCTAGTGAAAAAGTTTCAAAAAGTAGAAAGCCCGGATGTGACATCACACAGAAAGAGACAGTCAATGACAATCAAACAGATCAAACAGTTTTGAGTCACTTGTTTTGACATGTTTTGACATCTTTTGACATGTTTACAAGCACCACGCAGAGTGCAGTGACTGCAGTAACTGCAGCAGTGACTGATCTAAGATATTCTGAGATCATGCTGCGGCCAATCTGCAGGTCCTTTCCCGTTGGGCCCTGTCTCGCTGCAATACCTTCGTGAATGGCGAGGCCAGGAGATTTCCAGTTCCAATGGGCTTCCTTCCTGGCAAACATCCCAATCGTCCCATGCCATTACGACTGTGAGTCATGAAGTCAGGAAGTGCCTTGACATGCACGTCTTGAAAACAGCACCAATAGTGCAGTGATTTGTAATGCAGTCTCACACCTGGAGGGAGGAGAGCTTCTGAGCAGCTGTTGGAAGCGCTTCGTACTGGAGCCACCCTGTTGGTCTGTGGGTCAGAGGGTGATGGTAGGTGCAGCTCAACTTCAAGCTCAAGAGGAAGTGTTGGGAAGGAAGGAGAGCAAGACTAAAGATTACAAAAGAGAGAAAAACAAAAAAACATCCCAGAGTCGGTCACAGAACAAGCGCCTCGTCCAATCCAGGTGGTAGTCTAAAATTTTCACCTCATTTGCGTGCGTGCTTGGCTCTTCTTGCTACTGACAACTCGCACAATGAGAAAAGTTTGGTTTTGAGAAAAGTGCAACACATTCGAGGCAAGGGCTATTCTTCAAGAAACGCTCAATGTGAGAGGCCTCTGATCGCTTGAGAGGCGCAGAAAGCGGCGTATTGAAAGAGGACAACTAAACGGGTATTTAAAGTTTTAAAGTATTTACATTATGTATGGATTTACGGATTTACCTGCAATTTGTAGCCAAGTTTCAATGAAAGTGCGGGAGTCTCCAATCGGATCTAGCACAGCCAACCTTAGGAAAGGGAAATAAATGGAATAGGATGGAATAGGGCCTCCAAGCCGCACCCTAAAGCCAAGCAGCTCATGGTCTGAGGTCTTGCTTGCATTCCTGCGAGCTCCCCAAGAGGCATCAGAAATCTCAAATATGTTCACTGGTGACCTTCATTGAATTTGATTTCCTTTGGAGCATTTGGTTCTACTTCGGTAGTAGATGGTAATAGCGTATAGCATACACAAAAATACTCTTCAGCGCACCAGGCGACTAGGAGAGAACAGTTTTATAATCTATCTAACCACCGGTGTCCTATACCGGCTGATTGCTTCCACGCAGAAAGAAGCCATGAAGCGGCAGCATAGTGCCGCCTGGCAAGCGACATCAAGCGACCATGTTTATCGTGCACTTGCCCGCATGCCCATGTGCTCTCATTGTGTCTTGACATGGACGATGCCAAGGACAATGCCTCTGGCCCAGGGTGGGTGGCCAACGACTGCCAAAGAGCAACCTTGGTAGAAAAAGAATGAAAAAGAAATAAGGTGAAACAGAAAAAGAAATAAGTAATAGCTGAGTAATAGCTGTGAATAGCTGGAGAGGCTGGCGGTGTCGAAGCACCGAGTATGGCTGAGTAAGGCCATAGCATCCAAAGCTTGCAGCGGACACAAATGATACGCAACTGGTACGGGCGCAAGTCGCATGATGGAACCTTGGAAACCCGAACTGCCATAAGCCGCCAAATGTGACACAGTGCACGGCACATCTCTGTCGTTCTGCACAGTCCAAGCATGTGCAGATTCTAGTGAAGCAGCCACCAGCAGGGAAGTCGGAAACAATAGTGGCGCCCTTTTTCGCATCTGCTTAGCAGTTTGCTCTCACGTTTGATCACTTCGCAGCCCAAAAATCCAGACACGAGGCGGCCTAAAACAAAAAACATCAAAAAACAACATCAAACGGCTACTTTGGGGTCAGCTTTCGGCAAAGGTTGCCGCTGTGACCCCAATCTGTTTGAATCTTTTTGACTCAGAGTGGCTTCCACATGAAGCCAATTGCTTTTGAAGCAACTCGCGACCAAAAATGCAAATTCTGCAGGCACTTCTGCTTTGCAGGCTGCAGCTAGTGGCCAAAAGGTGACCTGTGCGCCTTCAAGACGAAGCGATAAGATTCAACCTGACAAGTATCTGAGGTCCTGAAAGCCAGGACACAGGACAGGCTGGCCAAATTCAAAACATACTTGCAAACTTGCAGAGCTAAATTAGACGTACAGCATGCCTGTATGGGCCTCTTCCTTACGTGGTGCTTCGTGTGCTTCATGAGCTAGTGAGAGTGGAAGTTGACTCTAGCATCAAATCATCATGTGCCGTGTGATGGTCCTGAGTGACTTGAGAGAGGCTTGAAATTCCCTTGCATGCTTGACAATTCTGTGTTGCACATTGAGTTGGGTGCAACTTAGGAAGAGGCCATTTGGCATATTACGAGGACACGCTCGGCGACTGAAATGTCGCAAAAGTGCACGATGAAAAAAGACATGCAAAATGCAAAACGGGCCAGCGGCTTGGTGCCCGTCAAATTCTGCCGACCAATTGAAGCTTTTGATGCTCTTGGTGGCAAAGCTGAGGAGCTTGCATTCTGTGACCCAGAATGCTGATCTCATGGAGTGCGTGGAAAAAATGGTGCGCAAACGTTCGTGCTCTCTTGCCAGTCATCTCAAAACCAGGCGAGTTTCCATTGCTATATATTGCTATGCCTACATTGGAGAAAAACAATTGAGAAAAGAGCACGCGGAGCAGTGCAAACCTTGACAGGGTATGCCCCAGCTCTTCAAATTTCAGACAGGTCCATGCCATCCCACAGGTCATGACGATCGCATTGGTCAAGCTCATTGAACTGCCGCACATATTCGGACGCGTACGAGAACAAATCCTTGGCACAGCTCTCTTCAAAACTCAGGGATCCAAATGGACTGTCCATGTCATCCCTCCCAGCTGCAGCAACAGATTGGCGAGTAAATCCGAGGGAATACACCGAGTACACCTGGCCCATCCTACAGTCATCAAATCAAGTTGTGCCAAGGATCCAAATCAGGACTCGTGTTTTTGCTGGCTAACCTTGGCAAAGCATACTGACAGCCAAACGCCAAGTGCTACAAAAAATGTCATATGCAAACGGCCCAAGAAATCTTCGTAGCATCCAGCCAATGGTATCAAAAAATTGTATGAATGTTGTCGGCTGGACTGCTTTTGACACCCAAAGTGTTCGGCCAAGTGTTTAGCTTTCCCTCCCTCTCACGGCCTCTCACAACATGAGGAAAATTCTCTGAAACTCTTCAAGTGACTCTTGGAATCGGCTTGCACTTAGCAGCAGCAGCCTCAAGAGGGCTGGAAATGCTGGAAATGCTGGAAATGTAAAAGGCTCTAAGAGGGCAAATGACTTGCCAACAAGACAAGTTCGTGATCGTTGCTTGGGCCTGGCTCTCAAGGATGCAACCCGAAGAGTTCCATGATGAAGCCAATCTGTCCAAAGCACCTGAATTACATTGCCAACACTTCGTATTATCCATGCAAACCCTGGATTTCGTCATGGCACCCTGTTGGAAACAACCTGAGAAACAAATAATAAAATAATACAGTAACTTTTATACAATAACATTGGTTCAGTCGAAAGGACATGAACATCCGTCTGTCGTCATACAGTCACACGGCAAATCTTTGATATCAGAGCCATATTCCTGGCCAAGCTGCTGGCTCTGCCGCAAAATGCCCATGATGCATTGAAAGAGGCTCAAACCTCCCACTGCGAAAGTATGCAAGGTTGCCTTCAGTAGCGAAAACCATTCGTGGCTCCACGGGGACTTCTCCTGCACCCATGAGACATGGCGGCTCTCTCTTGGACACCATTCTGTCCGGGAAACAACACCTATGATATGCGAAGACATCGATGACTTCAAGAAAACAACTGTGAAAATACCAAGTCCAACCGCATTGAACAAATGAACAAACATGAACAAACTGCAAGATTAATACTGCACCCACTAGGTCACTTAGCATCGCTTCCTTGGATGAACACCAAATCACCGTGGGAGACAAGGGCCATGGTGATGGCGGTGTGACAGAGCTGCTTCACCAACTGGCTGCTGACAGGCTCGAAGAGCCTGACGTGAAAAAGGACGTGACAGTGGTGACAGTATGTGAAAATGACAAGCTGACAGCAGCCAACAATCTAACAAGCTCAAAGTATCTCAAAGTACAGTATACTAAGTATACAAACAAATTCGGAAAAAAAATCCCCAGGGCGACAACCCTTTAATCCATGTTAATCCTACTTAAGGTCATGCCAAGGTGCACATGATGTCGCAAGGTGGGTCCGTACATCTCACAGTGCAACTCCGTGCGAAGGTTCTCTGAGATCAGCTGTATGAATTCAACCTGCCACGATGAGGGGAAGGCTTGGCTTGACAATTGCATCAAACAGATTACAATAAATTAGAATGGCATGGTCTTCTCAAATCAGCTTCAAGCAAAAAAGTTGTTGGCCTCTGATTCAGGCACGGCATGCTGCTGGGCAGTGAGCATGGCTTTCCTCCGCATCATGCAATCAGTGGAATAAACCTTCAAACAGTTGACGGAAGACTGCTGACTGAGGTCACACAGCACTATGCTAGCAAGGAACAAGTTGGAGTGGATTCGAGCTGTAAGTTGCCTGGAAATCCCATTGTCCTCAGTGTACAGAGTTGATGCAGAGATATGTGATACACATCTATACATGTGTGTTTGTGGCAGTGCCCCCATGGTCTTGAACATGTGGACAAGCTCTGACACCATCTGACACCCACAGTCCAAGATGAAGCAGGTGAGCTGCTATCAGAAACCATCGTAGTACTCTCTGATGGGCTGCTTGCACCCCAGTGATGAGGTGCAACCTGCACAAAAAAGATCAGAAAAGGACGCCAGCAGTGTCCAACCAGCTGAGATCAGCCACTCTGTGACCTCGCCTGGTCATGGCCGAGGTGATAAAGGAGATAAAGACCACCGCTAGCAAGTAGGCCAGAAGCAGGTAGGTAAAAGCGAAAATCCGTTCCTGCAACAATCACAAGTCAGCAAAATAGCATGCACCGCCAAGACCGGAACCTAATCTTAGCTTGACGTGGGATTTGTGCGGCACCTCGAGGGTGGAGGGGAAGAGCTCCATAGTACCGTGGAACTGTGCAAGCGCCCAATGAAAAGCAACGCTGTACCTCTGAAGCAACTGCAAGGTATCAAATCGACTTTCAATCAACTTGAGTGGTATCAGTGGAATCCACTCGACTCAAAAAGTAGCTCTGGAGGTGCAAAACATCAAGTCAGGCTGCTGTTCCACATCGCTGGCTCCTGGTCGATGCACTGAGACCCAGCCACCTTCCTGACGACCAAGCCCAACCCAGAAGCACGCCATGAAGTGGAGGAAGACCATTAGCCACATAATCTTGCCTCCGGCACAGTCCAGCACAAGCAACTTGGCTCTATCTGCCCACTGCGTCGCCATCGGCAACAAACAAAGCTCACAAAGTAGTTTGACATCGAAAGACTTTGCAAACAAAGATCAGGCTCACCTGTAATGCCTATGCAAAGCACTGCCCGTTCAGATCCTCGGTCAAATCCATAGCAGTTCTCAAGTCGCTTGTGCCAATGTCACACGGAGAACAAGCTTAACGGCTTAACCAACACGAAACTTTTGGTGCACAGCTACTGTACTGCAGGTAGTGCACAAGTTGCTCACTCTCCAGTTGTGTGTAGAGTCTTTGCAAATGACAAGCCACGGATGTTGTTGGAAATGAGCTGTATGATCGCCTGTGACATTAAATGGGTTTTAATATGTTGAAAATTGTTGAAATTGCATTTTCGGCCTTTGCGATGCAGTTTCAGCAACTTAGACCAGCGGTTCAAACATGTTCAAACTAATACCCCAGGGCCTCGATGCGCCACAGCCGGGCCAGCCGGATAATACGCACAATTTGAAAGGTCCTCGAGCAAAACGTTGCTCTATTGAGTTCGATGAAATGATGAAATCACATCCAAGCATCACGTGAATATCTGAACTCTTGTACCATCTTGTGCCATCCTGTGCCATCCAAGCATCTGATTCGACACGAAGAGCTCAACCCAGCTAAGGACGGCCAGCACCACATCTGGAAGAAAGAAACCTCAAGAGATGCTTCTCTCCGACATTCCACGCTACAGTAGAGTTTGAACCCATGGAGACAAAATTTGAAAATGAGGTTGCAACGCACGGGTACAAGTAAGCACTAGTCAATAAATACCGCAAGAAACAAACATCTCTCTCTCTCTCTCCACAATTTTGTCATTGTGCGTATTTTGTATGTGTATTGCATATGATACTATGTGTGCGTGTTTATATTGTATGAATGCTTGCACAAATATATGGGTGTGTCTGAACGTGGTCTATAACCCTAAATAACAATCCTAATGGATTGTATGCTGAACAACCATTATTTTGGGATACCCCATATTTTAGGCAAACCCATTTGTGCCTGTGAGAACATTATGTAATTAGCCTTTCGGTGACATCTGTGGTGCCATCCAATTTGGCTCCGGGCCTGTGAGATATCTGCGGAAAGTATGCGAGAGACGCATTTCCCAGGTTCCATCCAAGCCTGATTTGTTGCATCAAGTTTTGATCCGGGATATGTCATGGTACAACGTGTCCGTGGGACATGATCAAGGTACTTTAAACATATCAAAACCCTTGCATACCCTTGCACAAGAATGTAAATCGCATTGTCCAACTGATTGAATCAGTGATGTATTTGCGGTCAGATCTACAGCCTCAAAGTGCGCCACCCCCCAAGAAGATCCACAGTCTCATGGACACACTTGTCTGCTGCTTGGGCGTAAGATGGTGCAAGAGTCCGTGACAGTCAATGCTCACAAAGGTATGCAGAATCCAGAAGGTATGCCTTGCTCTGCATCCAGGCAACGCTCGTAAGAAACGCAGCTGGAGACAACAGGATCAATGGTCCAAATCACGGCAAAAAACCATCCCAAGATCTTGGTCCTTGAGGCGCATCAGAACGCATCAGAATGCATCAAAGTATCAGCATGTACCAGTCAAGACTTCGGTGCAATGAGCAACGTGATGCAAGGCCAATCAAGTCCAGGTAGATCAGTCAAGGCGCCTGTAGATCTGAATGCCCAAAAGCTGTAATGGGAGAACAATGCCATCGTGAAGCACGACCAGAAATATGACCTGGAGTCAGTCTAGAGAGCTGCAAGCGCTGTACCCGCAGGCCATCCGCCAATTCAAACAACTGAGGAAGGCATCTGAATTTCGCTGAGGTGCAATGTCCCAGCCGATCTTCTTGACCGCAAATGGCTTGATGACGAAGGAAACCTTGACTTGACACCAAGCGGACCAAGAGAAACGCAGAGATGCAGCGAGGTGAATACTATGAGGCAAAGTTACGACATGTCACTACCATGTTAAACTGTTACCGCCAAGAACAACCACACAATCTGTGACTGAGTGCAGCCGAAATCACTTCAGAGTCATCAGAGTCGTTGTAGGCCACGCTCAGGTATTTAGACAAAGAGGATCGTGTCACCAGTCTATGAAATCTTGTAACCTGCAGGAGATGGCAAAGCGCATCTGAAAGCCACGCTTTGAACACTCAAGTGTCGAGTCAGCTTAACATTCAACGCAATTCTGGCACGTTTTGGGAATATATGATCTGCAGCGGGCTTCTTATAATGCTTGGACATCTGTGTGTTTGAATAAATTTGATCTCTTTTTGTCCGTCCGTGTGTGTGCTCCGTGTCTTTCAGGTCCGCCGCACCTTCGCCGAATGCTTGTCTGATCTGTGCCAGCAATCTAGAAGCTCAAACCTCAAGTTCGCAGCGGACTTATCTAACTTCATGCACCTTGCAGTAGAAATCGATGGCAAGACCGTACAATGTCTTGACATTATCATCGTTATCTTGTATAGTGAGGCCAGACAACTGCCGAGCAAATGTTGGCATTGTATGGCATGGTTCCTTGTCATTGTTCCTTGTCTGAACACATCCAAATTTATCTGTGAGTCATATGAGTCATATGAGTCATATGTATTTAAGCTGTCCGGTGTCAAGGAGCTCGTAGCCAAAGTCGCTGGTCAGTGGCTCGCAGCCAGGTCCCGGAAGCTCCAACGCAGTTTCACCCCGGAAGAAGTTCCCAGACCAAAAGGATACCATTGGGGTCGGAGCGCGAACCTGACCATTTCAAGCGCAACTGTCCACAGTTTTAAGTTGGAACATGCAACTGAATCATTAGATCATTAGTACATGAGAATACTTGAGAGGGGGAACACGAAAGGTAGGTAAGCAAGAAAGGAACCGAAAAAAAAATGAAGGGGAGAGGGCAGGGAAAAAAACATAAAGTGGAGTCTAGTAAAAGCGACGCGGCCAGTTTCTTTCCAAAAATATGAAGGGGAGTCTGGTAAAAGCGACTGAAAGGCTTCGGCGATGTGGTTGGGGTTGGTGGCGGTTGTGGTGTTGGTGGTGTTGGTGGTGCTGGTGGTGTTGGTGTTGTTTGTGTTGTTGGTATTGGTGTTGTTGGTGTTGTTGGTGGTGGTAGTGTTTCTGGTGTTGTTAGTGTTGTTTGTGTTGTTGGTGTGGTTGGGTTTGTTGGTGGTGTTGGTGTTGTTGGTCGTGTTGTTGGTGTTGGTATTGTTTGTGTTCGTGTTGTTGTTGTTGTTGTTGCTGTTGTTGTTGTTGCTGCTGCTGATGGTGTTGTTGTTGTTGTTGTTGATGTTGTTGTTGTTGTTGTTGTTGTTGTTGTGTGTGTGTGTGTTGTGTGTGTTGTTGTGTGTTGTGTGTGTTGTGTGTGTTGTGTGTGTTGTGGTGTGTTGTTGTGTGTGTTGTGTTGTTGTGTGTGTTGTGTGTTGTTGTGTGTTGTTGTGTGTTGTTGTGTGTTGTGGTGTGTTGTTGTGTGTTGTGTGTTGTTGTGTGTTGTGTGTGTGTTGTTGTGTGTTGTTGTGTGTTGTTGTGTGTTGTTGTTGTTGTTGTTGTTGTTGTTGTTGTTGTTGTGTTGTTGTGTGTTGTTGTGTGTTGTTGTGTTGTTGTTGTGGTTGTTGTGTGTTGTTGTGTGTTGTTGTGTGTTGTTGTGTGTTGTTGTGTGTTGTTGTGTGTTGTTGTGTGTTGTTGTGTGTTGTTGTGTGTTGTTGTGTGTTGTTGTGTGTTGTGTGTGTTGTGTGTTGTTGTGTGTTGTTGTGTGTTGTGTGTTATGTGTTGTTGTGTGTTGTGTGTTGTTGTGTGTGTTGTTGTGTGTTGTTGTGTGTTGTTGTGTGTTGTTGTGTTGTTGTTGTGTGTTGTGTGTGTGTTGTTGTGTGTTGTGTGTGTTGTTGTGTTGTGTTGTTGTGTTGTTGTGTGTGTGTGTGTTGTGTGTTGTTGTGTGTGTTGTGGTGTGTTGTGGTGTGTTGTTGTGTGTTGTTGTGTGTTGTGTGTGTGTGTGTTGTTCGTTGTGGTGTGTTGTTGTGTGTTGTTGTGTGTGTGTGTTGTGGTTGTGCGTTGTGCGTTGTGCGTTGTGCGTTGTGCGTTGTGTGTTGTGTGTTGTGTGTTGTTGTTGTTGTTGTTGTCGTCGTTGTTGTTGTTGCTGTTGCTGTTGGTGTTGTTCTTGTTGGTGTTGGTGTTACCCCTGCAGCGTTTTTGCTCGGTTCCGTAGTGGCCGAAAATCGTCAAATCGGTGGTGTTTTCGCGTGTTTTTGCATCGCTCGGAGCAAAAAACACCGTAAATACCAATGTTTTTGGCGGGTCGGAAGCCCAAAACCACGGTATTTACGATGTTTTTTGCCTCTGGTAGTAAAAAGCACGGTATTTACAGTGTTTTTTGGCCAGCACCTAGCAAAAACACTGGTATTTACGGAGGTTTCACCATGTAGCAAAATGTGGTTTCTTGATCCGAAAAGAACAAAAATACTGTAAATTACAGTATTTTGAGTCTGCTCTTAGGGTGCGTGGGAGGTGTGGAGGAGGGGGGGGGTACTAAAATGACTAGCAATCTCCTGAAGAATCAGGTAACGGGGCTGGCCGCCCTCCCCTTTACTTCGTAAAGTAAAACTCAAGGTAGCCCCTCTGGAGCTACCTTTCGTGATCATTCGAATACATTTGATGAGATGATATTTTTTTGTCCTTGGCCAAGCTGCAGATTCCTTCGATGCTTGTGGTGCGTGTCGGGTTCTGGAATGGAGTCCATCCTGCAAAGATCTCAACCGGCGCCTTGCCAAAATCGGCCCACACTGTTCCAAAATGTTCCAAAACTCATGAAGGGTCCTGGATGTCTGGCACACTTTCACGGTGAACCTGGCGTGGGGACATCGCATCGAGGTCGCAACCAATTCATGTGCGTCTTCTGGTGTCGAAGTCAACGCAATGCGCAATGTATCGCGCCTCCGCCTCATCCGACCCTGGAACAAAATCTGCCTTGCAAAAGAAAGGCGAAGGGAAGGACCAAGCAACGCATGAGCGGAAGCCAAACGTGCTTAAAAGTTGCAAACAAGTTTCACTATGGCTCACGGCTCGTTTCCCAAAGGCAGCCCTAGGCCCTAGCATTCAAAATGCCACCGAGGCACCCTGAGGACCTTAGATGACCTTCTGCCTGGTGGTACGGGCTTTGATTCTGAGTTTTCAGACACTCGGTCCAGTGGCGAGTCCTGGTCACAAAAATGCGCCACTCAAAAGCCACACATTAGAATGTAACAGAAGATTCGGTTGATCATCCTTCACGACGAAGCAAACCAGGCAACCTCAAAACGCCTCAAAACCTGAAAACACTCATCTCGTTCCCATATCTGATGATATCATGCTGATTGAATTTCCAATCTGGCAATTGTCACTTTGATGTGCTCCCGTGCCTTCAAAGGAAGCGGCTGCCAACCTTCAACCAAAGCTTCCTGCCAGAATTCTGGCATTTGCATTGGATGCACATACATCGAAATACGGGTTAAGTTGTCACAACACCGACTGGTTGCATCAAAAAGTGCAGCTGCTCCAAACATCTCGCACCACCCTGCGTGAAGGGTTAATTAAGGCAAATATACGCAAATTACCCATGCAACCACACCCTACCAGCCTCTCGCGTATGAAACCCTGGAACCTTGACCACTGACGTCAAGGTTGCATTCAATCACAAATGCTGCAGCTTTCCAACAAAAAACAATAAGACTGCGTTTGAAGTTTTGAAGGCAGCATGCCAACATGCCTTGTCAGCATCAGATTTCCTGCGCATCCTGTGCAGGTCAGTGTTTCACACTACCTAATGAATCCTAATGGACTATAGCTAAAGGAGGAGAAAAACTCATTCAGCCTGAATCATTCAGCCACAAGCCGACCTTGGAATAATCCCCAGGTCACTGAGAATAGAGCTGGAGCCTCTGCAAGGCACAACAAAGGTTGTGGAAATTAATTGAAAGAAGAATTCAACAAATATGCGCAATCAGAAGAAGGATCAATATCGGGTTCTCTGAAGGAGACTGAAGGTTTGCACGGAGCCTGGCTCGGGGCACTGCAGCAAAGAGGATCGTCGTCTTGGTTTGGCAGTTGGGCCCAGCATCCTGTGAATGGCTGCATTTCCTTGCTGCTTTGTGCACAAGCCTTGCTCAACTTATGGTGAGGTCATGATGAATCTTGAAGCTTTCACATAATCACGAGAATAGTATATATATATACGTATGCATATATATATGTATATATACTAGTAATATAATCGTAACATGTATGTTTATAAGTGCGCGCGCGCACACACACACACGTGTCTCAACAGGCCCATCTCCTCAAGTTTGTTGGTGTCGGAACCGCAGGTACTACCTGTTCCGGGCCACACTTGAACCATCTTGAACCCATGCAAGATTTTCCGGGATCCAATTGGTCCGAGGCTACATCACGTGCAATCACTAATTGTCAAATCTTACATCCCGCCGAAGAGAGCCTGAACATCCGGAGCCGGAGGTACGGATGCTGGCTGTGGCTGTGGGGCCTGTAAAAAAGGGGGACTCACAGCTCAAGGAACCACAAAGGTGGAAAGCATTCAGTGAAAACAAAAGTCATTTGGATCAAATAGACCTAGATTGGATAGAATTCACCCACTGGTCATCGAGTTATCAACGGTCACCTCACTAGATGGGTGAAGAAATTCTTCGGATTCTAAATCATGTTTTTTTGCTTTCGGAATCAATGATCCCCTGAACGGCTTTTGTGTTCTATTGCAGCCGCGCCTGGTGCGCCTGATGAAGCTGGTGCAGAATGTCCGCATGTGAGGCATGTGAGACATGGGACTGGCGGCCTCGGATACTGTGGGTCGGAACAATGGCACGACCTCTCCCGAGCAGTTTGCCAACGTTGTTTTGAAGCTGCCCATCCTTGAAATTGAAAGCAACATGGTGACGTGACAACTTGATACAACTTGGGCGTTGACTGAAAAGGGACAGCCTTGACACAGGGCTTAGCGACAGCATGTGGCATGGAAGCGGATCGCTTACGCAGGTTGAAAGTGGGAGACTGAAAATGATGGCTACTCGGCTTCTGAAATCTCCTAAGAAAGAGCACGTGGCCTTTGATTCGGATCGAAGATCTCACTCACCGAAGAGTAACCTTCGATGTGTTGTGATTGAATCTTTGCACTTTGAAGAGGTGTCATCCTCTCCCCAATGCAGGCTGGCTCTGCAGTGAGGTAGTGGGTCCATGGTAAGGAAGTTGCAAGCTAGAGGGTTCGGAGAAGTCTCAACAAAAAAAATAATGTGCTGACATGGAGCTGCTCACGTCCTCAGAGTCTACCGCACCGGGCACAATATGAGACATTCCAGAGAGACTGCGTCCTGCCAAGACCTCAGAACATTTGGCCATCGTGCGACTGTTGCAAGCATGAAGTCATATTCCGCCATAAGCTGCAAGTTGGCAAGGGACAACCCAACTTCCAAACCGAGCGGCGTTCTTCTTGGAGCTAGCCTTAGGTGTCATTGGCTAAGGGCCAGCTTGAAAATGCAACAACCAGCGGAGCCAGTTGGGCAAACAGAAAAAGATAATTACTGCAGCTCATTGGCCCGAGTTCCGTCGCGAAGTTTGCCCACCAATCCGCTACGTCCATCATCCTTGTATATAATGGCTTGTGCAGAGACAACTTGTGCTGGCCGACCTTCTGAATTCTATGCTGTGCCAGTCAATCATGACCTGGTAGCCTGGTTCCAAAGTATTACAATGTTTTACCTTGTCTGAACATGTCGCCGGCAAGCTGCTTGTGCGGCGGCCCACATCAGCTCCTGCACAAAGCAAAAGTGTGCACTATCACACTCAGGATGCAGAATTTAGAGCATCAAGAAATGAAAAATGTGCTAAAACGCTGAGAATTCTAAACTGCACACAAAATGTTGCGTGTGTGTGTGTATGTGTGGATTTTTCTGGTGTGCGTATAATACATCGAGTATACTGATATACTGGATGGGTCGACAGGCTTAGCTGAGGCAGCTCCTCATGCTTTTCCACGATGCGCATGTGCAGCTCTGTGAGCTGCTCTTCCAAGAAAGCACTGAAAACATGTGCCATGGCTCTACCACCGCCGAGGGAAGATGGGGAAGTGAACAGGAACTGCACTCCACACTGCTGATCTTGGTGCATAAGATACATTGGCTTGCCAACTTCTTAATACCCAAAATATAGTTTTCTGCATAGAAGTAACCTGATGAGTTTGGGTTTGCAGGGGAACGGACATGTAGAAACAGGAAAGCCGAAACGGCTACGAATCAGCTTCACTGTACAGACTTCTTAGATTGTCTACTCCCTGCGTTGCACTGATGTATTTGCAAACTGCAGAGGCCGGGAGGTATCCCGGTTGGCCCATGTGCCAAGAAACCATTGCCGGCATCATTCGAGTCGGACTGGTGAACAGGTGGAACCACTGTCGCATGGCTGGTTCCCTTTGGCAGGCGGTCTGCCCTTTGTGCAGCCTCAACAGATCCTTGGAAAGGTCCAGTCCCGAAAAAAGTGGCAATATAAGCCATATGTGCCAATCATGTATTGCAAGGAATGGGCTTAGCGGCTTGGACATGAAGGAATGAGCAGAGAAGGTTTGAAGCGGCGGAAGAAACCCAAGCTGCGCCAAGCATCTCTCAATCTCCACGAATGACTTTGCAACATTGCTGCCAAGCCCCACTGACGTTTGCCCCTTCCGCCGGTCGACATCATAGCGGAAGGCATTGCAGTAGCCATGAAACCTTCCAGCGCATGGGGAATTCAAAGAAAAATGATTTAGCAACCACATGCAACCACAGAAGTGTCCCAATCCTCTGGCTCAAAACTGATTAGACAACTTTTGGCTGCGCAAACTCAGGAGCAGGTTCTGCTCGAAGATTGATGAGACACGAAACATCTTCAACACCTGACCCCATGACCAGGTGCCCTTCAGAAGTCTGTGGCAAAGTGTTGGAAGATAAAAGCGGACCTGATCACCGGTCCACTTAAAGAGTTTGTCTGTTGAAAATGTTCAGAGATGCTCGCAGGGTCTTAGAGACCTAGAGATTCTTAGAGATGCTCAAAGGGTGGTGGACTGCATGGATTCCCTCCTCCTGCTTGCAGCTTCCAAGTAGGCAGCCGTTTGCATCTCCTTGAGGCGACTTGTGGCTCGACGAGCCGCGAAGCCACTCTCCTGTAGGGACCCCACTGCAGCCACCATGACACCTGCAACTCCTTGGTCTGGGGCGCTCAAATCTGCTCCTGCAGGAGCTGCACTCCAACCACTTCCTGTGTCACCTTCAACAGCATCCACGTTGCTCAAACGTTGCAGCCGCTTTGCGTGGGAGCGTTGCTCTTCTGCACGGCGCTGTTCTTGAATCTGTGCCCATTTGTCTCTGCCCAACTCTTTGATTTGGATCTGGAAGTTGGGGCTATCATCGTACATGGTTTCAAAGATACCAAGGCTATCAGCATCTAAATTGCCATCCTCTTCAGATGCACCTTGAAGCACCTGAATGTTTTGCAGCACTTCCTCCAATCGTCCCTGACAATGGCAAATGAGCCGCACTGAATGCTCATAAAGGGCATCGACCAAATTTGTAAATCTTCTCGCCTCATTGTGCTCTTCGAGTGTGAGCTTGGGCACATCGTGCAGAAAGACGGTGTGGAAATTCGAGGCGATGATCAAGAAGTCTTCTGCAGCCAGAGGCTTCTGGCAAAGATCATCAAAATGAAATTGAGCAAAGCCGTTGCTTTGCCCAGGAATTGCTAGCTGCCGGTTCCAAGAGATTTTCAAATTTCCAGGATTTAGTTCTTCTGGGATGACCTTCAATGCCTCCTCTGCACTTCCACCCTCAAACAGGGTCCTATCATTTTGCGCTGCACACACAGTGTCCTGTTTGGCACGGTCTGCATGATACATGGCAGCCCTGTAGTCAGCGCCGAGCACACCTTGTACCAGAAATTTCTCTCGTAGGTGAGCTACAAGTGCCGGCACGTAGCGCTCCCGATGGAGGCCTTCCTTGTAAAGATCCTCTGGTGGACGGTTCGTAGTACAGACCACTGCGACGTGCCGAACTGCCAACAGCTGCAAGAGCTCTGCCAAAATAGCTGCATCTGCCACGTTTGTAATGGAAAACTCGTCCAGGCAGAGTAGATCACAAGACTTGCTCACTTTGTCTGCAAGTCGCTCGAGAATATGCCTCTGCGGTTCTGAGTTTGCTCTTCTCATGCTATGCAGCTCTTGGTGCATCCACAGGGAGAATTCGTGGAAGTGCTGGCGCTGTGCTCGCCAACCCTTCAAAGCAGTTAGGCAGAAAAGATCCATCACAGTACTTTTTCCGGTGCCGACAGTGCCATAGACATAGCAGCCAGCAGGAGAGAGAGCCGGAGGAGGTCCCAGCTGAAGCCAGCAAACTGGTCCAACCATTCGTGGGGAGGAAGGGGTGGATGGAGCGCGGCTCATCCAACTCGACGTCCAAGCGGCAGCATTTTCTCGCTGTTCTTGAGACACGCGGCCTTCCTTCTCCTTGGCAACTGTGGTGAGGCGTGCCTGCTCTGCATCCCACCGACTCTTGGCACCACGGGCAGCATGCAAGGCATCAGGCAGTCGGGCTAAGGCCTTCACGGCAGCAGCCTGATCTTGGTTCTCTTGCAGCTTTCCTTCAGAAACTAGGCTCGAATGGGCTGAGGACACATCCTCACCTAGAAGAGATTGCCACCCTTCGCCCAGGCGAAGACGAAGTGCCAAGCGTTCAGCATCCAATGTGACGCTTTGAGCTGTGATACCCCGGCGGCTCACTCTCAAGCTAGCTTTCATCTGCAAACCTCTGAGCTTGAAGGACTCAAAGACTTTAGCAGATTTCATCGCTTGAACGCGGGCACCCAGAACCATACGAACTGTTGCCTCTTGTTCAGCTCTTGCTGGAAGCGTATTTTCAAAAATCAAAAGCTTTGCAAATGGTTTGTGGGTGTGTGCTTTCACTCCCTAGGTCTTGCACTGTGCGGAGAAGGTCTCGTGACTGAACTGCAGGGTGGGATACTGTAGGAATAGGGAAAATGTGCAGTGTGCAAACGAGGCCAAAATTGAGACTGAGCAGAAATATGCGGAAATGCAGAAGTTGTCAGGGCACATATGCTTTGCAACATGCTCTCATGGCCATCAAGTCGAAATAGCACCAGACATGGCCAAAATGTCATCGTATGTCAACGGATGTCATCGTATGTCGTATGTCATCGTCAAGGTATCTGGACGTCAAGGTATCATGTGAAAGAAAACAAACTGAGGCCATCACCACCACATATGCCACCGTACACGCGCATCACCTCCGTTGTAATGTCCACATGTGAGCAGGGAGTCGGCCAGGCCTAAGCGCAAGGAATTTGGAGGACAAAAAGGGACGAAAAGGGTTCAAGCGAAGTTCAAGCCATGTTTGACAGTTTTGATGGTTTTGACTGTCTCATTTGCCTTTGTTGCACCATGTTGCACCACAATCTATAGACACTTTGCTTCGAACATAGTGCCATGCTGGCATCGTCCGTCCACTGGCCTGCAAAAAGTGCAAACTTACGGGACACAGTCTGGCCAACTCTTGACACGAGAGTCTCCTGGCCTAGTTTAAGGTCAAACTTGTTTCTGACATTCCTGTAGTGCAACTGTCCGTCTTTGAGCGTCGTTGCCAAATATGGCCGCCGGTCATCATCTGCACAGCTTTCCTCACAGTTGTGCTGGCTGCAGAGAACCACTAGAAGCATGGTATTTCAGGAATCTGTTTCAGCCACAGATCTAGATCGGGTCTTTGAGACACAAACGTGCACAAATGATATATTGCATTTTATTTCTATCTGTCTCTCTATCTAATCTAATCTAATCTAATCCAATCTAATCTTATCTATATAATCTAATCTAATCCAATCCAATCCAATCCAATCCAATCCAATCCATCCATCTATCTATCTATCTATTGAACCTATGGTCAAAATTGATTCAAACTGATTATTCAAGTTGATTCAAATTGCGTGAACACTGCTTGACATATCTCCCGCACCTGTGGGCTCGCATCAACGGCACAAAACTCCAGCGGTGCCCCAACAGCATCGCCCAGTGCTAGCCCAAGAAGACAACCGATAGCACTGTCACAGCCACGGTCCTGAACTAAGACATCGAGGACTACGGAAGGGATGACTTCATTTGACACTGGCATTGACCGTCAAGGACAAACCCCTCACATCAGCCGCGTTGGTTTTCGGCTTGCTCCTCTGCTGCAAATTTGTCCAGAACACCCCACCATGCTGTGGATGCTGAACTGGCACTCCTCAGATTCAGAAAGAAATTGAGAAGCATCCCGCATCACTTCTTGCCACGTCACCAACATTCACCAACCACCCTTCAAACCAAGGCTCATTGCATCAGCAAGGATTGACCATTGACACAGCTCGCTCCCAAGCATCTGGCAAATGTGCGAGAAATCGTCTACTAGAACACCTGTAAAAAAGCGCCCCCGACATCATACAGTTGACTTGCATTAAATCCCCGATATTTTTCATGCATCAAGATGGGACCTTGTCGTTGCGCGGCACGCACATGGGAGGAGAGAGATTCAGCTTACTTTGGATCTGAGATAGCCTTAGATCAGCCATGACAATTGATCAGACTGGAATGCACATGCAATATCCAAGCATGCTCTTCTCAGACTAGGACAAATCTCTCTTTGCACATCACTACAGTCACCACTGCACAGGATAGAAAGCTCTGTCATTCGCAAAGGCTGCTGAACGTCCTTCATTGTGGCCAAGATTAGTTCAGGTCAAGCGTTTGCATCGTGTAACATCCGAATCCCCTACCCATCCACTGAGCAACTTCACATCGCACTATATTGTACTATATAGCTCAGCCAATTTTTCCAAAGGCAAGCAGGGTTCCAAAGCTGCACTAGGTGGTCGCTACTCAGCTACTCTGCCTTCAGGCAGCCAAGAAAGTTGCTTCCTCAAACCAAACCACTTGGTTAAAGAATTAAAGGTCTGTTTGCCTAAGCATTTCTTTGTATCCAGGTGCAGGGCCAGAACAACTTGCGCTCTCAAAGCTCAGGCGGCTAATGCTGTGTTACAGTTTAAATAGTTTCAGTTACAGTGTTACACATTGATTCTATTGGGGTCCATTCAGGCCGGGAGCAGCTCCATGGACCGCTTCTCCATGATGGCACGATCCGTGAGGCTCTTAATATGCACTTTTGATTCTGGGTTGGCATCATTTGTTTTTGCAATTCTGCTACGATTTTTGTTGTATCATTGCACGCTCAGACCATCAGAATTTCTCCATCACCATCTCTAGGATCCTGCTGTTTCATCTTTTTCAATTGCTGGCAGAGGTTCAATACAAAAAAACAAAACATGTGGATTGTATTATCTATCTGCATGTTTGTAGCACGACTTTTTTCTGGGCCAAAACACCTGCAGCAAAAGTGAATCAGCCGCAATGAACATGCATTCTCAGGAGTGAGTTTGGAGTCTTAGAGGGAAACAAGCCAAGTACAACAAGTGTATGGTCTTCCATCTCCATCTGATCTGTCTGGAAAAGTTCGTCGTGAGATGTGGCACAGGTGGCACAGAACCTTTTCTGCAGCTCTCACTCGCGCTCAATCACTCCGCTGCCGCTGCTGCTGCTGGCCTTGGTAACATCGATTATGATTCGACACAGCCGTGATACAAAGTCTGTCCGACCCAACACATTCTCAACGCCTGGTTCTCCAAATGCCTTTTTATGATTTTTTAGGGAAGTTCAATCTAGTGAGATGATATAACTAAAATGCCACAATGTGCCCAAACAACTCAAATATGACGCACTTCATCACCCACCCAAGACGCTTTTCAGAGAAGGGTGATCTAAAGGTGATCTATGGAGAACAAGATCAGCTGGAAACCATCAGAGGCCCCCAGTCCCTGTCTTTCTCTCCAGAACAGGGCCGCAAACGCAGTCAAACAGTGTCAAAGATCAGCATCTTCCAAACTAAGGTATCGACATCGCTGCTGGTCACTCGCTTCGCAACGAGATTCTGGCAAAAGACGAGGCTGGTGACAGACTGGGAAGATAGATAGCAACGTGACGGCGAAGTGGGTATCGAATAGCCATGGAATCACTTTTTCAAGCTAGACTTCAGACTTTGAAAGATAGTTACGCCAAGAATTATATAAATATTTCGAAATGTGTTTAAACGTTTTTTTGGCTATTTTCATGATTTCACTGGGTTGAAAAAATGATTTTTTACGATGAAAATTATGTTTTTTTCCACTTGATGATGCTTGAAAAAACTTTCTAAAAGCTGAAAACATGTTTAAAAACATGTTTAAAAAAATAAAAAAGTAGTACTAAATTGTCTTTAAGAAAGAACAATGTCAAGAAAAAAACAGTTTAAAAAAAAAAGAGAAAACATAAAAGAAATAAAACATAGCAATATCATTAAAAAAAACATTTTCAAAAACAAAATTCAGCATTCAAAAAAAATGGAAAAAATAAAATACAGCATGAATTGCATCACATGTTTCTTTAAAAACATACCCACCCAAAAAAAAAAAAAGGAAAAAAACTAAATTTTATCGGATCAAATCATTTTAAAATAAGCAGAAAAACTATTTAACATAAGGTCCCCTCGCTTCTGTGCAAGTCTCAAAGCTAGACAGAGTGCCTCTGTAGGGCTGCTACCGGAACTGCTTCCCTGGAAGCCGAAAACCACGGTCGATTTCGTTTCTGTTATATTCACTCAGAGCGCTCAAAAACGTGCAAAGGCAAGTGCTTTGATTGAACCTCCTCGCTGCCCTCTTGGGAAGATAAACGGCCTTTGCTGTGTCAGCTCTGGTTTGGCAAAGCAAAGCGTCTGCAGGGCACTGCCAGGGCACCGACGTACTTCAACAATGGGTGCACGGCGATCACCTTGAACTGTCAAGGAGTCAAGACAGTCAAGGCATGTCAGTTCAACAAGGATGCGTTCCTGATCCAAATTTGGTAACTGAGACACGCACCATCCATCACTCCACCAGAGCTAGTCTCAAGTGGAACCTGGCCTCTTGGAGCTGGAGTTACATCCTCAGAACCTCCGAGAGCAGTATCAACAATACTGGTCAACTGGTCCAACTTGGCCCAACGGTCCAAGTCAAACTGTCAACAGCAGAGGTCGCAAGAATGCCAAGTGATTTTCTGCTCACGAGGCCTCCGTTTGAGTTAAAAGCAGCTATTGCAGGAACAGTCTGGAGACTGTCAGTTCCACTGGGATCAGCTTCATTAGTCTTCTGCACGCCTGGAAATCCCAACACTCCGAAAGAGACAGCCTTTCTCGGGTGGTTTCTCATGTCTTGGCCAAGCATGATGTCCATGCATGAGGTGTCATCGTGCCGTGTTGCCTTCTATTGAAATTGCTCTTTCTGGCTGGAATCCACCTTGGTAAAGCGATCTCTACATATCCTGACATTTACACGAGAACTCCCGCACACCTCTTTAAAAGTGGGCAAGGCACCTGTCCCATCGCTAGCTTCTACACGTTCGTGTTTTGTGTCTTCCGCTGGTTCTGCATCAGCTAAGCCTCATGGCCAAAGTCAAAACATCATGACTGAAAGTGATTGATGAGCCAAAGCCATCTGACTGACCGTTTCAAGTAAGCCTGTCACTCGGTTGTACGACTCGTTGCAATCCTGCTATGGACCGGCCATCGGACAAGGTACCTCCATCGCACTCGGCTCAGGTCTGTGTTGAAGCTTGAGACCCTGCTCCAGTGTCTACTCGTGAGAAACCTGACTGGCCATGACTGGCCTTGCTTAACTGTGACTGATTGCCAGCCTCCAGCACAGTCTGCATGAGGGTAGCCAGCTTCATGAGGAACATCTGTCTGTTCCGGGAAGCCTGTGCACTGCGGTCTAAAGAATTGTTGGCCACCTCACGGAAATAATATGCACATATATGCACGAGGTTTCGGAAATCTAGAATCTGCATTGAATTTAAGATTGCACTTTATTTGTGGCTATCCCAGGCAAAGCAGTCTGTTGCAAAGAAGCGCAAGACGGCATTCTACGACACCGTGTCCAGCTGTTTTACCCTCGCTTGCATCTCCATCAAAGCGAAACACTTCTGGAAACGCCACAAAAAGATCGTCGAGAAAAGACTGTCGAGATGGTTCAGTCATAGCAGTGACTGGGCAAAAGGCATCATCAAGCATATTGACATTTGATTTCCAAACTAGTTGGGGAGATCAAAACTCTCGACCACGGCTGAGAAGTTCAAGGTAGTTCAAGGTAGTTCAAGTTCAAGATGGCATCCAAGTCCAATTTTTTTGGAGAAACCCCCCGAAGCTCAGCGACACGTTTCCAGCCAAACCTTCGGATCCAGTACTCCACGTTCCCGTTGCAGTCGTACGCAAGTTCACAAAGCCTGCTTTCATCTGCCCATGAATTCCCGAAGGGGTAGCTTCCAAGGGCCACAAGGTCCCGGAAATCAAGAATGTCCCGCGGATAGGTGGTCCAATTGCAAACTTCATTTCAGAAGCTGAGAGGTCCCAAAGAAATGGGCCCGGTTGATTTGCCTGAACCACAACCTCAGACACACTTTCCGTTGCACTGAATTGTCCTAACTTTCCTGTACCGATGGTGTTCGTAGCGTCATCCACACTGTCAAAGGTGAAGACCGTGGTTCCGTTCTCGAATATCTCTGGCCGCCTGAGGGGCTTCAGATTGAGCTGGCTCAAGGATCCTAACAGCCTGACCAGGGAAGCCTTCTGTTTCAGGAAGTTTGTAGTGGACATTAAGCTTTGCCTCGCTCTTGCATGACAGCCTTGGTCTTGGGCTAACTGACGCCAGGCTTCTTCCACATCTTGTGCGGAAACATGCAGCCAGTGACTGACTGCTTGGTGGATCTCTGAATCTACGAATAGACAACCTGCAGATCTGTCGCTTTGCGCAGCTCTTTGTGCTTCACTTTGCATGCCTTCTAGCCTTGGTAATCCGCTCACTTTCATTTGAACCATGTAGATTCCGCAGCCAGCTTCATCACATTCATGCACGTGGCTTTCGTCACTTCTGGCAAAGGTGGCAGTTAGAGCGAGAAGGAGGAAACTCATGGCATGGCACCACATAATAGTGAGTAAGTAGTTTGGGAGATGTTCTCAAACCAAGCGTTGCAACATCTATCTATCGTAGTCTGCATGTGCAATGCGGAGGGCATTTGGAAAGTCTTGAGAATTGAAATCATTGATCCTTGGGCAAATGAAAGCCCTGCACTAGTCTAGTAAGTCTAGTAGCTGCAGCAGAACGCATCAACAACGACTAACATTGACACACCTTGGGCAAGATTGGGCAAGCGGTTCTTCAGTTTCTTCAACAACTTCAACAATGCACAGACTGTCTTGGCCCAAGGTCCAGCCTTCAGCATCCTCCCGGGTAGCCTACAAGATTAAGACCCTCGATGGTGCCCGACGGTGCCCAATCTGTGTTCCTACGACGTTCTGCGGTTTTCTTCGGTTTTCTACGCCTGTGGAAGGAGAACTTTCTGCATTCCCATGCCATGTCCTTGCCTCCTCCGTGTGGCGCTCTAAGGAGGCCAGCATCTTCTGCATGGCCTGCATGGCCTCAAGGTTGACACTGAGTCCATCCTTGAAACTGTTTCCAACCAGTATTATGAGAAAAATATACATGCGGCAAAGGCACACTCGTCAGGTTTCTTTCCGAGCGTTACGGGTGGATCGATTACTTTGAAAGATCCAGGAATCACGAGCAAGACATTGTAGCGGACAATATTGAACACCTTGCGGCTTCCATTCTTGTGCCCCCATTCTTTGGTCTGGATCTGGTGCCCAGACATTTGGCACGGCCAAGAGTGGGGAGAGCCAAAGAGGCTCATTGTGAGCCGCATAGCTGGCTAAAGCAGCTTCGGTCCCTTTTCTGCAAGCTCATGGACCAAAACCTGGAGAACATGGAGAAAATCGAGAATATAGACCTCAGAGGACAGCGTTGTGATGCCTTCCTGCCGCACTTTCATGGTGTTGGTGAAAAGCCTGAAAACCATGGCTCCTGAGGGCATGGCCATTGACTCTGGGGCAGTGGCTGTCGTCTTACCTGAGCCATCGAGTGGGGGTTGAATAGTGAACCCACCTTAAAATGTTGATATACAATGTGGCCAATCGGTGGAGCAACCGAAGGATTTTCTGCGGCTACTTAGCTACTTGCAAGAAAGGTCTTGTAAGGAAAGCCAGTTGTGATCGAATCCTATCTACCTGCAGTTTTAAGAACAATTATTCAACTCCGGTAACAAAATCTGGCGAGGAGTCACTAGCAGCGTTGCGTGTTGCTACTGCATGTAGCTATTGTACATGATCCACGCTGTACTCCACTGGAATTGGCTCCGAGGTGCAAGGAAGCCACGGATCTGAGCTTGAGCGCGCACCACTTTGGGCAAGACTGACATTTGCTGAGATTTATCCTGAACAAGTTGAAATTACAAAGCTTCTGTGACATCACTGTGCCAGAAAGGTTTCCCCTCAAGTCTCGCAAAGACGGTGTCTCCTGCGGGATAATCCGGATCTGCGTGGGAACCAGTGATGTGGCCTGTGACAGAGCTAGGCCCAGCTGAACCGATGAGTCAACTGAGTCAACAATTTCCTTTCAGCTTTCGTAGCATCAGCCGATCGCACAGGCCTTTAATGCTTGTAAAACCTCTTCCGATGCTTGCCCGTAGCCTCAGCGGCACAAAATGCTGGCCATCAAAGTATACGCATATATACTATTATTAGTGCATGTGTGTCTGTATGTATGCACGCATGCATGCAATACATGCATGCATGTAGGTATGTAGGTATGTAGGCATGTAGGTTTGTAGGTATGTAGGTATGTGTGTGTGTATGTGTGTCTGTATGTATGCATGCCTGCATGCATGCATGCATGCATGCATGTAGGTATGTAGGTATGTAGGTTTGTAGGTATGTAGGTATGTAGGTTTGTAGGGATGCATGCATCGTGCATGCACGCATGCATGCATGGACCGACGGATGGATGGATGCATTGATGGATGGATGCTTGCGTGGACAGTTGGATGTACGCATGGACGGATGAATGCATGTGTGGATGGATGGATGGATGGATGGATGGATGGATGGATGGATGGATGGATGCATCCATGCTTGGATGGATGGATGCATCCATGCTTGGATGGATGCAAGCATGCCTGGATGGATGGATGCATGCATGGATGGATGGATGCATGCGTGGATGGATGGATGGATGGATGGATGCATGGGTGGATGGATGATGCATGAATGCATGGATGGATGGATGCATGCATGCATGGATGGATGCACGCATGCAGGGATGGATGGATGCATGCATGCATGGATGAATGGATGCATGCATGCATGGATGAATGGATTCATGCATGCATGGATGGATGGATGCATGCATGCATGGATGGATGCATGCATGCATGGATGGATGGATGCATGCATGCATGGATGGATGCACGCATGCAGGGATGGATGGATGCATGCATGCATGGATGAATGGATGCATGCATGCATGGATGAATGGATTCATGCATGCATGGATGGATGGATGCATGCATGGATGGATGCATGCATGCATGGATGGATGCATGCATGCATGGATGGATTGATGCATGCATGTATGGATGGATGGATGCATGTATGGATGGATGGATGCATGGATGGATGGATGGATGCATGCATGGATGGATGCATGCATGCATGCATGGATGGATTGATGCATGCATGTATGGATGGATGGATGCATGCATGGATGGATGGATGCATGGATGGATGGATAGATGGATGGATGGATGGATGCATGCATGGATGGATGGATGCATGCATGGATGGATGGATGGATGCATGTACATATTGCTGTGTGCGTGTGCAGTTTACACAGAGCAAATACAAGCACAGAACACACACACGAAATCTGTGTGCACCTTTGCACCCGAGTCGCGAAGGTCCAGGCGAAGGTAACGCAAACCCTTGCCAAAGCGCCAGTCCCTGTTGCCTCAGCTCGATGAACCTGCGCTAAAGGGTCTTACAAGTATCAATTCCAATCAGCCAATCAGTCACTTGAATAAACCAAACCAAAAGTGAATACTGTAAATTCTGTAAACAAATGTACAATGACAGCGAAGAAGCAAACCCACTTCAAATAGAATCCGTCAGGTCAAATCAAGTATGGAAACACATTGTAAATGCAGTCACTCAATGATCAATCATTGAATCAATCGTTCCAGACATGCAACATCAGATTTCATGCAATCATTCAGCTGCGCAGCGCTTTGTCATGAACATTTTAAGGTAGAAAGCGATTGAGTCTCATTGCGTATTGTAAATCAAGCTAGTGAAGTCAACCAAGGCGTAGGCACCAAACCACCAACAAAATCAACAAACTGATTAATCGATAAGTTCTGCCTTTCTCTCTCCCTTTCGATCTGTCCGCCTACCTAGTTGATAATTGGCTTTGAATGGGTGCTCCACGCAATCTGTGCAAGGGGCTATGCATCAAAGCCAAGCATAGCCGATCTGTCACAACTCCGTGCATCTGGTAAAGGTCCAACTTCCTGCTGGCCAGCACGGCCAATCAGCCAATCTAAATATATCCAAATATATTATATATTTTCAAATAATATGTTTAACATGTCAAGGTATATCACAATGGGAAATGCGTTGTTTAAAAAAAAAATGTTTGAAATTATTTTGAGGTTCGTCAGCATGGAAAGCCGCTGCGGGTCCTCAACTTCTCACACTGCTGCACCACTTCCAGTAGCGCATCTTCCGCACGCTGTGCTGATGAAACTTTCAAACTGCACAGCACACGCCGATCCGAAAAAGTGTCGCAAGGATTTGAGAATTAGAGGCACTCGCGAGTAGATGAGTAGAAAGGGGAGCACATAAAGCCATGTATCTGGTATCTAGTCACTGAAGTTCGCTGTATTCCCAGCCTTTGAAGTACCAATTGTTTGAGGCCTGCAGTAGGGCGAATACGAAATGATGCAACTTGTCAAGTGACCCGTCACCAGCCACCACCTCTGGATGGTTGCTGAAGTCAGTTTGCACCGAATCTACTCCACGGATCATGGTTTCGTTTGGACCTGCCTTTCAACTTCGGGATCTGGTGAAGGGCCTGGCAGCCAAACTTGGGAATGGAAACAACATAATTACAGTATACAAAATTGTAATCAAAAGTATACAAAAACAAAAATCGCAATATATAGATTTCGTACAGATTCGTACAATGGCCATGTGTTCGGCCTGCTATTTCGTCCCGCCATGTCCCGCCTCACTGCAGAGCTCCAGGGCACACAGCTCCAGGCACTGGACAGGAATACATAAGAAATCGCTCAAAGCCTGGCAGCGATTGGCGGCGAACATGTTTGCGTTTCAAAAACCAAAAGACTTGGCGCTTGCTCTCGCAGGCCCTTCTCTTCTTGCCCTTCATTTATAGGGTAGGTCAAGGGTTTGCAAAGCAAAACGACAGCTTATGTATGATTTTGCTATGTTGTCGTGACTTACAACCTAAGAAACAGCCAAATGAGCTGGCCGTTGGCATTTTCAATCTACGCCGGACGAACCCAATCAGGCAGTCTGGGCAAGTGAGCCAGCCGTAGTCGCCACAATCCGTCCTGCAAGCTCTCAACGGAGCACAATGACACGATGCCGCTCGGGTTGCAGCCTGGCAGGCGGTCACCATCTTCTGAACTTCTTCTTCAGATGGAGAGAACAAGGGCAACCGCTCCTGGAAAGGGGCATTGCCAACGGATCAGGCGAATCAAACCGAAACAGATCGAACTTGATTCCTCCTAGCGGGCGTTTATGGGTCTGTGTGTGTGTGCATGTAGCTGTGCTGTGTCATGCTATGAAGCTAATGTTGTCCTTTCAGCACATGTCATGTTCAAACGGCATTGGTTGTGAGAAGGCACTTGCTTACTTGGCCCCGTGTAGGAAATGTCTTGCATGCTAGCAAGTTCACTACATGTACATATATAATATTATATATATAGTAAATATAGATATAGCATGCATGCAATTATATGCATATATGCAGTATACATGTAACATGCAAGAAGAGGGTGCATCACGCTCAAGCTCTCCAGCTTGATCTCCACAAGAGTCCCATCCAGCCAATGTGCCATTGGCGACTCTGAGATTGATTGGAACCTGACTGGTAGCCATAGAGCCATCACTGCACAAATAGGAAAGGTTCCGAGTACAAAAGGGCGGTATGGCTTGGCCCAACTCATAAACACATGTCAAGACTGTCAAGATGCTAAAAGACCTAAAAGATCTCAATCAACAAATGTTTGCCCTGCCAAGCTGCTGGCAGGAGCTGATTTCAAGCCATCGCCTCATGGAAGGGGTGACTGGCCGAGACAAGTCAGAGTCGGGCTGCACACCTGAGTACTGCTCGGAGAGGCATATTTGGCATTTCACAAACAAACTTTCCACGTTGCAAAGTACCAAAGCTTCACCAGAATCAGCGAACCAAGGTGCAATGTCCCTGCACATACGCCAACTCCAAAGTGTGAAGTTTCCTACATTTCGCAGAGATGTTCAATTTGCTTCTGTATATGTAATATACAAATCTCGAGCGCAAACAGATGAGCAGGCTCAGTTATCTCACATACAGAAGAACCCTGGAAAATTTAAGGCAACCGTGGCTCAAGCAGCTCTGCATCAACTTCATGACTCCATTTCCAGTCCTGATTAAGCAAGGCAGTTTTTGAACGGCACTTGCTTTGGATTTAACCACGTATGTTCAAGCCAACTGAGAACAAGCACACACGCTGAGGCACGGAAATTCGCACACGGCTTGCTGGGCAAATGATGGAAAGTGAGTCAGTAGAAACAGGCTCCAATCACAACACATCGCTTTGCATGACAAAGTCTCAACACCTTCTCGCTGTTGATGCAAAGTGTGGAGAGATTCGGGCAATGTTCCGCCAGCAGTGCACCAAGGTCAGGTCCGACCAGGGGTTGAACCCTGAGAATCAACCAAAGCTGCTCTGCTGCTAAAGCTGACAAGCATGCTGCAACAATTTGAACCCGCCTGCTTGGAATGGAGAGCGACTCCAGCCGTTTGCCAGTTGCCTCACTGCACATCTGCACGGAGAATTGAAATGAATTATTGAAATGAAGTAAAGTATAGCAGTAAGTAAGCATACAGCAACTTGTTTTGCTCTCTATCTCCACAAGCTCTCTGTGTGTTGCCTGGATGATCTCCGCCAATTCTTTTGCAGCACAAGGAGGGTCCACAGGGATGCCCACTGCCCGCAATGGGCATGCTTTGGCGGCACTCGCCACCACGCGACTAGGGCAGGTGGATAGAAAGAGCTCCTGCAGTGCTGCAGAATCAGAGGGCTTAGGAACACCTCCTGCGATGAAACAACCTGGAATCTAAGATCGCTTCATTCAAAACCTTGAAACTTTGACATATCATCTGTCCAAGAGTCTGAATCTCTCTTTAATGAGAAATCGCAAATGCAATTATCGCTTTGTCAATGGCGGTCAAACAGCTCATCCGGACTTATGGGGCGCATTTGCACATCCCCCGGGCCCTATAGGTCCTCCAGGTGTGCAAGTTTTCCGCTGCCAATGAGGTCCATCAAGTCATCCTGGAGCGTTGGGGCGCAACCCTCCCACAAATGGAAATATGCCAAATATGTTTGATAAATAAAATTGCTCACATACAAGCTATCTATATACATACATCTGCACCCACTTGGAGCAAACACATGCCCGGTGGCAAGCCCTCCTGCAGTGGGCCATACAACCTGAGGGACTGCAAAGCCTCTGCCTTGACAATGGCGGAAGTCACCTCGCGGCTCTATGGCAGCCACATCTATGGTAGGGTGACAGGAAAGTGGCAGGTGCTCCAACCGTGCTGGCCAAGGCACAGGCACATGCAGGGGGAGCTCCAATTTCGTCAATGATGGAAACACACCCAAAGTGCAAACTATCCGGAAATGCGAGGCCCTCAGCAATGGCAAAGCCTGTCAAAACTTTCAGCTGAATACCCAGCGCGGCCAAGTGCTAGGTCCGAAACACGCGCTGCAATTCTATTTCTGCAACTGCAAAAAAATGGCTCAAGCAAGCGTAGTTAGCCCCACCAGAGTTTGCAAGCACGAAGGCCGCATCTCACGCAAAATATCCAAAACCTTCTCTGTAAGGCTTTCCTGCAAAGTTCCGACTGATGGAATTTGCTGCATGTTCTGAATGATGGGAAAAGACAAGCTCGAGGCACCAAAAAGATACAGCCATCCCCTGCCTCGTTGCCAGAAAGATTCAAGGAGCGGAGGTTGGGACACAGCTTCAACAGTCCTTAGCAGTTCGTGGCTTTTGCCTCCACTCGGGAGAGATCCTGCAGCAACTTGAAGTTCCCTACTGAAGAGCCCTCAGTCCGAAGAACCTTATAATCATATACGTTTTGGATCAGAATCTGTGCACGTGCTGGTCCGTCAACATCGGCAATCGATGCAGGTCGATAGATTCCTCAAATGCGGCAGAATGCAGCAGAAAACGTAGCATGTTTTACACATCACCAGTTTCCACTCGGCACACTGAGTAAATGCTACACAAGGGGAAATGCCTCTGGCAGAACATGGAGGAGCGCCACTTTTTCATGAATCTACTCAAAATAGATTTGTCTGCCGTAATTTCCCAAAGCACCGACTTGATAGCTGGCAACCTTTACAGCCATTTTAGTAGCTCTGGGTATTAGCCTGTAGCACTGTACAATCGCAAAAGATGTTGAACTTCAGCTCAGGCGGTCGTCACAAGGAAAAGGCATTGATCAACATCTGCAAACCAAGCTCAGGGCTTGTTAAGATCGACTCTGGATGGAATTGCACCGCAGCAATGGGCAGCGTTTTGTGCTGAATGGCCATCACAATCGGCTTGCTTGCCTCAACTCCATCGCCCGAAGACACTCCTGGCATAATGGAGGCAATCTCCACTAAGCACTCAGGGAGTGGGCGCAAACCATAGAGCGAGTGATATCTTGCCACAACGAAGCTTGAGGGACAGCTCTTGAAAATTGGTCCCGCTTTTTCTGCTGGAACAACGCTACCATCATGGCCAACCGCATGGACTTTCACTTCAGAAGGTTTCCCATGCATGGGCAAAGGCAGCTGTCCTAGCTTCCCACCGAAATGCTCCACGATACTTTGGAGTCCAAGGCACACTCCAAAAATCCGACATCCCATTTTCAGCAATCTGTCAATGTGCTTTGAGACCCCGAAGTCGGTGGGCCGGCCTGGCCCTGGGGACAGAACTACAAGATCTGGCTTTGAAGAAGCCAAAGCATGTTCTGCCTGAGAATGCCTCACGGTGGTAACTGTTGCACCCGTTTGTCGGAGGTAGTTTGCAAGAGTGTGGACGAAGCTATCCTCGAAGTCTATCAAGACTACCCTATGGTCTGCCTGCTTCAAAGGCATACTTGGCGTCTGGGCAATCTCTGGAGGCAAGTCATGAGGATTTCGAACAGCATTGAGACATGCAGAGGCTTTCAACTCTGTTTCCTTCTCCTCAGACTCTGGCACACTGTCGAACAGCAAGGTCGCTCCTGCACGAACCTCTGCCACACCTTCCTTGATCCGCACTGTTCTGAGCGTGAGTCCAGTGTTCAAGTGCCCATCAAAGGCAACATGACCAATGGAAGCTCCATACCAACGGCGCTGAGTTTGTTCGCACTCCTCAACAAATTGCATTGCCCATGTCTTTGGAGCCCCACAAACTGTCACAGCCCATGTGTGGACCAAAAAGGCATCTATGGCATCAAACTCTGGTCTCAAGTATCCCTCAACATGGTCTACGGTGTGAATGAGCTTGCTGTAGAGTTCAATTTGGCGTCGTCCGATGACTTGGACACTGCCATGCTCACAAATCCGGGATTTGTCATTCCTGTCAACATCTGTGCACATGGTGATCTCCGACTCTTCCTTGGCATCTGACAGAATCTTTTTGATGTGCTCTGCATCCTCCAAGGCATCTTTGCCACGGCGAATGGTGCCACTAATTGGGCAAGTCTCCACACGAACCCCTTTGAGATTGCGTTCCACACGAACGAACATTTCAGGGGATGCTCCAACCAAATATTCCTCCTCTCCCAGATTCATCAAGAAGCCATACGGAGAAGGATTCCGCCTCTGCAAACAATGGAATACTTCACTGGGTTTTGCTTTGCAAGGCTCTTGAAAGGTCTGAGAAAGGACTGCCTCAAACAAGTCACCGCGTACGAACTTCTCCTTGGCGACTCCCACAAGTTTTGCAAATTCGCCAGGCTTTAGCTCCCGCCGTTCCTTGCCCGCAGGCAACTGCGTCCTGGGTTTGAAGGCAACCTCTGCACCTTTGTCGTCCATGCCTTTCGTGCTCAGCATTTTACCCTCCGAAGCGAATGCGAAGTCATACTTAACTCGCCAGGACTGTTGTATCTGGTGATTCACGATCAGCACGTTGTCTGGGATGTACAACACCAAGTCCCTCTGCTTGGGATCTCTGTCTTTGTGCAGCTTGACATTCTCGAACTGAAAAGCTAAGTCATAGCCAAAAGCCCCATACAAACCCAGGTGAGCATCCTCTGCAGATTCAAACAAGTTCACGAAAGCTCTGATCACGGAGAAAATGCTTGGCTGTTTTGACCTCTCTTCCTCTGAGAAATAGCCCGTTGCTTCCATGACCTCGCCCTTGATCTTGTCAGAACCAACCATCCTGCAGTGCAAATTCCCTCCAACTCTGCTGACTGAAGAGGCTCACCCAAACCAATGCAGCATTAAAGGTCTTAAAGGTGGTACCCCAGAACATTGTACAGTATTGGATTCCGTTCCATGTTCGTTACTAAAGATTTATTATATAAAGAAAAAATGTTGTACTGTAAGATTAGATTCACAACGTTGACACCACTCTTTGTCTCAATGAATTACACTCCATGTCATTGCAACCCTTTGCATGACTTTGCATTGCATTACACTTCATTACATTTTATTACATTACATCATTCGAAAGGAAAACATTACAAACATGTCACAAAATGATTTGTTTGCCAATGATGCAAAACACGGAAACGGGATGATACAGGAACTGTCGCTCAAAGAAATCGGCTTCCTTTAACGTTCTAATTTCCACAAAATCATCCGAAGATAGAGGCTAGTCCTAGGCATTGCACATTATGTAACACGTTTCATCCCGTTTAGTACCTCATAGTATCGCAGGATTGCAATGACAGTTACCACGACAATTGTATCACAATTCGATACGATGATTTAGACAACCCCTACATGATCATTTCAAAACACTTTGGAGATGCTACCCCGAAGTCAAAAGTTGCTACTTCAAATCAAGGGGCTTGACCTCCGACACAGCAGATGTTGCTTTCAACATGCCGAAAATAGTAGGCAGGAATGGCCGGCCACGGCAGTTCAGGGCACTCACCTCGAACTTCCTGTTCCAAGCCTCTAAAGCCAGCGGTGGATCAGCAAAGCCCAGAGTCCACAACGCATACCTTGCACGGCATCTGTCACTCAAGCACAAACAACGCAAGCAAACGTTGCCAGAAAACGTGAATCTGCCAGCAAATCATGGCAAATAATGGGAACCAATCAAGGCCGGATCGAACTTTTCATAATATGACTTGCAGCCCTTGTACCGTCCGGGATATTCATAGGACGATGACAACAAGCAGCCGCGACTGCTGTCCAATCGTCTGGACAACTCCTGCACTTCTGCAAGTGGATCTTCAACTTCGAAGACCTCAAGAGATATCGCAAGTGAGGAGTGACAAAAGATCTTTGACCCAATCACTCCAATGATGTGAATTTCAAAGCAAATGACCCAACAAGCCACCCAAAAAATCCACATAATCGTATGGCCCATATGGCATATCTCAGAATCTGTCAGTATCCCTCGGGTGTGCCAGTCACTTCATCTCTTGGCATGTTGTCTCTTTTCTATAACTGATGACCTCTGCCCAGCCTCCGAAATGACCATCACTTGCCCGGCAGTGACATAAGTCTGTGACCGAGGCCTCGCGTTGGGTGCTCCAAGGCTCGGCATCTCCTGGTGAAGCATTGCACCAAATGTATCCAAATGTTGTGAGGACAGGAATGTCCTCGGCAGCTCCCAACAATCTTAAGGTCGCCTACGGTGGCCTGTTAGAGTATGTGCATTTCTCCCAACAAGTAATCTTGCCGCATTCATGAACTGGACATCTGATGGGAGCAATAGATTCTTTGCTGTTTCCTCACCTTTCCTCCTTCTCCTGCACGGACCTACATATGTACTCCACCCGGGCCCTTTGCTGTCCTTGCCACCCAAAGCGTGATTTTTCAGCCGCTTCGCGGTGCCATTGCTCACGGGCCCTTCTCGCTTCATGCCTCCTCGAAAATTTGGCTGCGCGTCTTTGTGGCCCTGTCGCCACGCACTGCACTTATGAGACAAAAACGCTTGAGCAAACAACCACAGAACACATATAGAAATAATGAATTAATGAGATGATCAGCCTCTCAAAGCCGAAGCGATCCCATGTTCACAGCTATGTGACAATCCCTTCAGGCTGCTGTTTTCTCTGAACTGCTACGATCATTGTTAGATCTCACAACAAATGAAATGCCAAAATTCCAAGTGTGCCAGCCGGTTCCCTGCTGCATAGCTGGCGCGTTTCTCCTCAGATTCTAGCGGAAAGGAAGTGCCTACGTGGCACCCAATGAGCTCATCAGAAAGAAATCACGTTGCCCCTAGTTGCCTCTGCAAACTTCTTTGAGGTATTCCAGCCCAGCCACATCTGTTGCTCAAGACAAGGAGCCAGCCAAAGTAGAAGCAGCTGGAAAGAACCACGGAAGCACAAATCGCTAAGCTGAAGCTTGGGAAAGAGCCCTCTTTGCCAGGAAAGCTTCCTGCACACTCAATGTTTGAAATGCCAACGCCTTTGCCCCTGCCTTGATGATCCATCAGTATAGCACCCTTCCTGTATATTAATATATACTCTATATAGACCACACTTAACCACACCAGTCCGAGTTTCTCTCTGAGTTTGTCCCTTTCGGATTCCCTTCCAGGCCTCAATTCCTTGCAGCAAATCTCTGCCTGCAAGAGCGACCATGTCGGAAGCCACTCCAAGCACAGCAGCAGCTTGTGCAACTGCAGCAGCGGACTGGTTGCCATGGGGTTCCTACATCAGCGCTAAAAGTGAAACACTTTTAAATACTGTGATTTTGGGGTGCCGAAGTACCAAGGACCGGTGAAATCAAAGATCCGATTTCACATCTAGTATACAGGCCAGTTGTGTTGGCTGCAGAGAATGATCAGATGTCTAAATGAGTTGTTGCCATGCTGCCATGCTATCAATGAGAGGAAAGGCTGACAGCAACAAAAAGTTGAAATGAAATAAAGTTCAAACGGGTGTCTGGCTCAGGTGTCCAAACATTGAACATGCGGTGTAATGTGCTTTCCCTGTTGCAGTGACAAACAATTGTCATGATATGTCGTAGCATGTTCCCCCGCCGGCCTCTTCAATGATGGCACCTCCACCATTCCCACAGATGGATCAAATGGCAAACTGGCTCCGAACAGAATGCAAACTCGTGACAACTTGTGACAGCAACATACAGAAGGTCCCCTTTTGCTGTCCTTTGCCTGCATCACCCTGGCGCTCATCAATGACCTGTCGGCATTCTCATAAAGTGGCAAAGTGCACTCACTGCCCTGGGCCCTGAGTGTCACTCTGCAAGGCTCGTTTTGGCACATCAAAAATGCCGCAATACGAAAGGCAATCCGACCTTGGATTTTCTGCACCCGGAAGGCTCGGCCCGTAGGGTTTGCAATGTTTGGTCCTTGACAACCCGGCACACAAGGTTTCCACGCAAATACGTAGTTACATAGTGTAATCATAGTGTCATGTGTTCATGATCTCCGGTCACTCTCCCGAAGAAGGTCTTCAAATTCAAATTTGGGCATTCCTGCCGGGTAATCCTCGACTGCCGCTGAAGGCGGTAGTCCTGCAAATTTGTTGATGCCCTCTTTTGTTGCAGAACTAGTTCAGCTAGCCTCTTTGACAATAGATTCGAAATCGGAAAATGCGTCCTCGTTCTCTGACCTCATCCTGATATCCATGCCTTCAGCCAGACTTTTGCAATGTTTGTAACCCGCCACTAACCGCAATCTAGCGGATAAATGTGGACAATCTGTTCTTTTTAAGTGTGCAAAGGTTGATATCAAAACGCGTAACGCAATAACGCCGTAACGCCCAAGCACATAGTTTTCCTCAGTGTTAGATCGAAGGTGTCACTGAGGAATCAACCCCACTGCACGTCTGGTGCCTCAATGTCAGTGATTTGTGTGTTGTGTGCTTCAGTTTCCCATGGTCACTCTATTCTCTTTGACATAAACATGCAAACAAAAATAGAATAGACATGAAGAGAACATAGCAAACAAACAAAAACTGTCCAGCCCATGAAAAGTCCCTATTGTGTTGAAGGGTTCGACTCATGATCACCCCTGTAGAATACTTGAATGATGACTTGCGCAAATGCAGCTCTTCTCGGCACCCAGAATCAGCAAGTGAAAATAAACAAACAAGCCGGCCGTGCCCAAGTGCTGGCACCTTGGCGAAGAGTGAATGCAAAACTGGTGAAAACTAAATGGTTTTTTGCAGCATGAAGCAATGCAGAAAGGAACTCGGACACCCACACAGCCTCAGCTACAGCACCGTTCCTGGAGCACATGTTGCCAATGCAGTGCCAAGTGGACTGTTTCATGCTGTTGCTACCAAGTGTTCTATATAGTTTTTGTATGTTTTGGTCGATCACGTGTTTTTATGTTCGGTCCCTTTGCGAGCAATCAATTCGAATGTGCTATCTGCACGAGGCCTCTCGACCGTGGACAGCACGGCCTTGCTTTGCGTTGATTATCCATGTCCACAGTAAGATGTTTCGTGCTCACATGCGAAATATTATTTTATTCTTAATATTAAATACGGGTAAGCAGGTCCCCACCGTCACAATCCTTCCATTGAAAGCAGACAGGAAAAACGCATGCTGGCCTCCATAACTCTAACGCACTCAGTTTGCTCACCTTCACAGGTCGTAACACGCACAATTGGCAATTAACCACTTCAATCTACTTCATAAATTGACATACACATCGGCAAACATCGGCAAACTAGTTTCCAAAAGCCGAGGCACGTCCCACATTCTGTTCCAATCTCGCGAGGCGCTTGGCGAGGCGTTTCACCCGCTCACTTTGGCGCAATTTCACTGGGCACAGTCCGTCCAGCAATCGCGCTCGCAAGCGCTGCAATTCTAATGCCGCCTCTGCCTGCACCATTACATTGGTAGTAAAGTCAGAAAAGTCAGCAGAGCCATGCAAAGCTAGTAAAATAAAATTCAAAGTGGCCAAGTAGGACATATTTGTTGCTATTCGTGCAATGCAAATTGTTACACCCAAAAGTATGGTTGCAAATGGTCGCCTGCTGGGAATCCATATCGCGCATGGCAACCTCCAGCATGTCCTGCAATCAATGGCAACGGAAGGACACACGGCAAAAATTGCGTTGCAAGAACCTTGTGACTTTGTGGTTTTATGAAAGTTGTATTAGCAAACTGCATTTGGTGAAGTTCCTGAAGTTCTGCAAGGTCTTCATTGATGCGGGCAATTCGCAGAGCAACCGGTTCAAGACCAGGCGTTCCGCCAAACAATGGCGATCTGTGGTGCATAGGCGTTGACACAGTTGATTGTGTTCCAATGCCGTGCAGCCATTGGCACGGCCAAGGAATAAGCTGAATCAGGCCATGAAAACTGCATCAAAAAGAAGGTCTGGTATATCCGCCGACCCCGGCCGACGCAAGGGGGAGCGCGTAAGGGAAAAAGAGGTACTGGGAAAGAAACATGTACAGGTCTCAAAATGTATATATATATATATATAGATTCAAAAAGAAAGTAGGCCAACTAGGTTTCAAACATTGAAAAAAGTACACATATGGGAATGTCTTAAACTGAGGTATCCGTATTTCCCCTTAAAGTACCTATTTTGGAACCAAAAACGGACACCTCATCTTGAAACATATCCATATGGAGAAAGAAGTAACATTTATAACTTTTAGATAAATTGAATCCTTGAGCATCAAAATTAGAGATGATTTCACAACACCTCTAGGAAATTCTGCCATCGGAAATAAAATCCGCCGACCCCGGCAGACGCAAGGGGGAGCGCGCCAGGGAATAAGACATTGTCCCATTTGCCATTCGAAATTGACGGCCGCAATGCCCCTGTGTTTGGACTTTTCCTGTGATAAGACATTGTCCCATTTGCCATTTGAAATTGACGGCCGCAGTGCCCCTGTGTTTGGACTTTTCCTGTGAACAGTGTGGATTTGGTAGCTTTGCCACACCGGGAGGTGCTTTTGGTACTCTTCTTTCAGCAATAGCAGCAGCAGCACCACCACCACCAACACCAGCGCCAGCAGCAGCAGGAGGAGGGAAAAGGTAGCTAAAATCATCCTTTTCTTTGGGTTTCAGAAGTTACATTAGGCATTTTTTGGGCGCAATTTTGATGCCTTACCGCCCCTCGCTGCCATGGTGTTTTCCCATCCGGGAGCTAGCATTAGAACAGAGGGAGCAGCAGGAGCAGGAGCAGCAGCAGCAGGAGGGAAAAGGTAGCTAAAATCATCCTTTTCTATTGGTTTCAGAAGTTACATTAGGCACTTTTTTGGTCGCAATTTTGCTGACTTTCCGTCCTTCACTGCCATGGTGTTTTCCCATCCGGGAGCTGCCATTTGAACAGAAGGAGCAGCAGGAGCAGAAGCAGCAGCAGCAGGAGGAAAAAATTGCTAAAATCATTCTTTTCGATTGGTTTCAGAAGTTACATTAAGCACTTTTTGGGCGCAATTTTGCTGCCTTTCCGTCCTTCCCTGCCATGGTGTTTTCCCATCCGGGAGCTGCCATTTGAACAGAAGGAGAGCGGGAGCAGCAGCAGGAGGAAAAGGCAGCTAAAATCATCTTTTTCTATGGGTTTCAGAAGTTACATTAAGCACTTTTTGGGCGCAATTTTGCTGCCTTTCCGTCCTTCCCTGCCATGGTGCTTTCCCATCCGGGAGCTGCCATTTGAACAGAAGGAGCAGCAGGAGCAGAAGCAGCAGCAGCAGGAGGAAAAAATTGCTAAAATCATTCTTTTCGATTGGTTTCAGAAGTTACATTAAACACTTTTTGGGCGCAATTTTGCTGCCTTTCCGTCCTTCACTGCCATGGTGTTTTCCCATCCGGGAGCTGCCATTTGAACAGAAGGAGCAGCAGGAGCAGGAGCAGCAGCAGGAGGAAAATGTAGACTAAAATCATCCTTTTCTATGGGTTTCAGAAGTTACATTAGGCACTTTTTGGGTGCAATTTGGCTGCCTTTCCGTCCTTCACTGCCATGGTGTTTTCCCATCCGGGAGCTGCCATTTGAACAGAAGGAGCAGCAGGAGCAGAAGCAGCAGCAGCAGGAGGAGGAAAAAATTGCTAAAATCATTCTTTTCGATTGGTTTCAGAAGTTACATTAAGCACTTTTTGAATACTACTACTACTACTACTCCTACTAGCACTACTACTACTGCTACTGCTACTGCTACTGCTCCTGCTCCTGCTACTCCTACTCCTACTCCTACTACTCCTACTACTACTATGCTCCTGCTCCTGCTTCCTGCTCCTGCTTACTCCATACTCTGTGGATATCATTCTACTCCTACTCCTACTACTCCTACTACTACTACTACTCTGTTAGCAGCAGCGACAGCAGCAGCGACGACGACGACGACAACAGAAGGAGCAGCAGGAGCAGAAGCAGCAGCAGCAGGAGGAGGAAAAAATTGCTAAAATCATTCTTTTCGATTGGTTTCAGAAGTTACATTAAGCACTTTTTCAATACTACTACTACTACTACTCCTACTAGCACTACTACTACTACTACTGCTACTGCTACTGCTACTGCTACTGCTACTGCTCCTGCTCCTGCTCCTGCTACTCCTACTCCTACTCCTACTACTACTACTACTACTACTCTGTTAGCAGCAGCGACAGGAGCAGCGACGACGACGACGACGACGACCACCACAACAACAACAATAACAACAACAACAACAACAACAATAGCAACAACAACAACAACAACAATAGCAACAGCAACAGCAACAGCACCAGCAGCAGCAGCAGCAGCAGCAACAGCAACAGCAAGAAGAAGAGGAAGAAAAACAACACGAATATGTACAAGTAGACATCTTTTTGTTACCTTGAAACGCTTCATTTAACTTGCCACTCTGCTTGGGGGCACGTGCGGCCGTTTGGATTTTTGTGCTTGCTGCGAATTCTCCCTGATTGTTTGGTGGTTTGGACACAAGTTCCGCACGTTGGGCACGCGTGGACATAGCGCATGGTTGGACGCAGGACTCCGTTCTCGACGCGGAACTGCTTCCCACAAATGTGACGGTGGTTGATATTCCCAAACGCTCTCGACGAAGTGACGCCACCATTGCAGCAGGTGAGCTAGCTGATGGGAGATTGAAAAAGCGGAAAAGGTTGGAAAAAAGACATTTTTTCTAGGAATTCAGAAGGGACGTTAGGCAGTTTTTCGGTGCGATTCTAGGGCCTGTTCGTCCTTCCGTGCCTTGCTGTTTTGGTGCCGGGAGCTGCTCTTGCGACTCTTCTGTTAGCAGCAGCAACAGCAGCAGCAGCAGGTGAGCTAGCTGATGAGGTTGGAAAAAAGACATTTTTTCTAGGAATTCAGAAGGGACGTTAGGCAGTTTTTCGGTGCGATTCTAGGGCCTGTTCGTCCTTCCGTGCCTTGCTGTTTTGGTGCCGGGAGCTGCTCTTGCTACTCTTCTGTTAGCAGCAGCAACAGCAGCAGCAGCAGGTGAGCTAGCTGATGGGAGATTCAAAAAGCGGAAAGGGTTGGAAAAAAGACATTTTTTCTAGGAATTCAGAAGGGACGTTAGGCAGTTTTTCGGTGCGATTCTAGGGCCTGTTCGTCCTTCCGTGCCTTGCTGTTTTGGTGCCGGGAGCTGCTCTTGCGACTCTTCTGTTAGCAGCAGCAACAGCAGCAGCAGCAGCAGGTGAGCTAGCTGATAGGAGATTGAAAAAGCGGAAAAGGTTGGAAAAAAGACATTTTTTCTAGGAATTCAGAAGGGACGTTAAGCAGTTTTTCGGTGCGATTCTAGGGCCTGTTCGTCCTTCCGTGCCTTGCTGTTTTGGTGCCGGGAGCTGCTCTTGCGACTCTTCTGTTAGCAGCAGCAACAGCAGCAGCAGCAGCAGCAGGTGAGCTAGCTGATGGGAGATTCAAAAAGTGGAAAAGGTTGGAAAAAAGACATTTTTTCTAGGAATTCAGAAGGGACGTTAGGCAGTTTTTCGGTGCGATTCTAGGGCCTGTTCGTCCTTCCGTGCCTTGCTGTTTTGGTGCCGGGAGGTGCTCTTGCTACTCTTCTGTTCTGCAACCTTTTTTGTAAGAATTCAGAAGCGACGTTAGGCAGTTTTTCGGTGCGATTCTAGGGCCTGTTCGTCCTTCCGTGCCTTGCTGTTTTGGTGCCGGGAGGTGCTCTTGCTACTCTTCTGTTAGCAGCAGCAGCAGTTCTAGGATTTCAGAAGGGATGTTAGGCACTTTTTCGGTGCGATTCTAGGGCTTGTTCGTCCTTCCGTGCCTTGCTGTTTTGGTGCCGGGAGGTGCTCTTGCTACTCTTCTGTTAACAGCAGCAACAGCAGCAGCAGCAGGTGAGCTGATGGGAGATTGAAAAAGCGGAAAAGGTTGGGAAAAAGACATTTTTTCTAGGAATTCAGAAGCGACGTTAGGCACTTTTTCGGTGCGATTCTGTGGCCTGTTCGTCCTTCCGTGCCTTGCTGTTTTGGTGCGGGAGGTGCTCTTGCTACTCTTCTGTTAACAGCAGCAACAGCAGCAGCAGCAGGTGAGCTGATGGGAGATTGAAAAAGCGGAAAAGGTTGGGAAAAAGGCAGAGACATTTTTTCTAGGAATTCAGAAGGGACGTTAGGCAGTTTTTCGGTGCGATTCTGTGGCCTGTTCGTCCTTCCGTGCCTTGCTGTTTTGGTGCCGGGAGGTGCTCTTGCTACTCTTCTGTTAACAGCAGCAACAGCAGCAGCAGCAACAGCAGCAGCAGCAGGTGAGCTGATGGGAGATTGAAAAAGCGGAAAAGGTTGGGGAAAAGACATTTTTTCTAGGAATTCAGAAGGGACGTTAGGCAGTTTTTCGGTGCGATTCTAGGGCCTGTTCGTCCTTCCGTGCCTTGCTGTTTTGGTGCTGGGAGGTGCTTTTGCT